ATTTCCAAAACAGTTGAACTTAGGTATTAAAATTTAGTACCAAAATGTATGGAATTAAAAACCCTTCAAAATAATGTATTACTTGACTCCCCTTTCCACTTTTTTTAGGGGGTGTTTGGGGCCTGTGGGTTGAAAGGGGGAAGGCGAATTTTGCATAAAAACTCATCCCCTCATGAAATTATAGTTGAGGTGTTTCAGGGATTTTTTCGAAAATGTTTCAACTCCAAGATAATAGGGGTGGTAAGTTTCAAAATGAACACCCTGTCTATGTGAGCATAGTGAAGTTTGTTGCGTATAGTCAACTTCAAGAGGTATCCAACTCTATACAAGACCCCTATGAAGAGAGCAATTTTTTTCCTTACTCGCTCTATGTGATTTGCCAGTATACCATCTATAATAAATCCCAGATATTTTATTGTACAGGCATTCTTTAGTGACTCGGTTCCAAACATTATGTTTTGATTATTATTTAAATTTCTGTTACTTAACATCATATAAGATGATTTTTTAATATTAAGTGTTAATTTATGAGATATTAACCAATCATTCACCACTTCCAGATCCTTAGCAATACCCGCCCTGATAGAATTGGCGGTTTCACCACAATATACAATTGTTGTATCGTCAGCATACAACTTGACTGTCCCACCCAAGTTCAGTTTACATACCCAGGGAAAACAGTCCACCCCGATTTTTTTCGATTTTTTTTTTTATTAATAGAATAACAACAGTTGTACAATAATACATGTTAGCAAAATATAAATATCAAACCAAAGTCTTACAATGCTGTTATTGTCCTTAGACAGCAAAGCTGCTGGTATCAGGACAGAATACTATTAAGAGTGTACAATGATATAAATAGATAGATACTTATGATTAATTAATTTGATTTAAAAAAAAAAAAAACTATAATACACTCACCGACATAAAATTCGGGACAACCAAAATTTAAATCAAATTTGATGTAGAATAACTTTTTTTTCCATAGTCCGATTTCAATCTTTTTTTTCCTAATGTAGATATTTGTTTCGGTTTTAATTAATTTTATTCAATTTTCAAAAATACAGTTTACATGTTGAAATATACAGGAAAATAAAAAAGTATATTTTTTCTCTTAACTTTTAACCCTTTTTTTGCAATGTAAACTACACTGGATATGCTGGTGATGCCTTTGTCATCCGAAGATTCAGCTAGAGCTGTTGCTCTTCATGATGCTGGTTATTCCTATAGAGAAGTGGCAGATATGCTAGGTTCTACAAAATCTAGCGTGGGAAGAGCCGTTGCAAGGTTTCATGAGACTGGAAGTTACGGTACAAGACCTGGATCTGGAAGAAATCGTGCAACTTCCGCCCTTGATGACCGCTTCATTAGACTCTCGGCTTTGAGAGATCGGCATACCAGTGCAGTGGTGATAAGAAATGAAATCGAAAGAGTTCGTCAAGTTGCTGTCAATGAAATAACAGTGAAAAGAAGACTTAATGAAGGCAATTTACGGGCCAGAAGACCGGCAACTGGACCAGAACTCCAAAGACAGCATCGAGTTAATGGACTTCTTTTTTCCCAATAATACATTAACTGGAACCTTCAAGAGTGGAGGCAAGTTCTATTTTTAGACGAGTCCCGATTTTGCCTGAGGTCTCCTAATGGACGAGAAAGTGTATGGAGACGACAAGAGGAGAGATTCGCCCAATGTACTTTTAGCGAAAGGGTTAGCTTTGGTGGTGGATCGATAATGATGTGGGGCAGTATTTCGTTTGACGCTCGAACAGAACTTGTTTTTATTGACTGAGGAACTTTAGCTGTCCCAAGGTACATTGTCGAAATTCTGGGAGAACATGTTGTTGTTTTTGCACAATTTATCGGCAACGAATTCGTTTTCATGCGTGACAATGCCCGTCCACATACTGCCAAAATAGTGGCCCAATATTTAGAAGAGGTTGGAATAAACGTTATGCGCTGGCCCGCTCATAGTCCTGACATTAATCCCATAGAACATGTATGGGACATGTTAGGTAGACGAATAAGGAAACGCCGAGGACAGTTGTTCACTCTCCAATGGACGTGATCAAAAAGTGTGATGTTTATTTCAAAAATTCATATCTCCCGAACCGATAAAGATACCGAGACCAATAAAACAGCAAAATGTTGAAAATGAATCAAACTTTGCAGAAAAGCATATCCAGTGTAGCTCACATTGCAAAATTACTCTACAGAGTGTTACAAAGTTAAGAGAAAAAATATACTTTTTTATTTTCCTGGTATATTCCAACATGTAAACTGTATTTTTGAAAATTGAATAAAATTAATTAAAACCGAAAAAATTATCTACATTATGAAAAAAAAAAAAGATTGTAATCGGACCATGGAAGAAAAAGTTATCCTACATCAAATTTGATCTAAATTTTGGTTGTCCCGAATTTTATGTCGGTGAGTGTATTAATATTAAATTCATTATCCTATACAAAGTTTTTACTTTTTAAATACATTTTTAAATGGTTCAAATATATCTTAAAGTTAGGACATTGTCTTACATTTAAAGGTATCAAGTTAAAAGCCAATGTGGCCTGAGTTAAGGGGTTATGCAGTGCTGTGTTTGTTCTAACGTTTTCTAGATGAATATTATTATTGTTTCTGGTATTATAATTGTGAATATCACTATTAAATGTCAGATTACATTTTATGTCCCTGGCTAGAATTTTAAAGATTTGTTTACATTGTTCAAGTTCAAGATTTTTTTTTTTTGAAATACTTTTCAATATTCTTCATCCCTGTAGCTTCAACCCCCTAGCTAGGGGCAGAACAACCCCCCAAGTTTGAATGTGGGATAGGGGTCATGTCATACCTCCTTCTAAAGGTCTCATCGAGTTCTTTATGACCCTAGAATTTCGTCTTATTATTTTCATCCGTAATGATCCGTAACGAAATGGCAGCTTGTCAAAATCTTGGAAATAGACTATTGTTTCAGTAGGAGTAAAACCGGTAGTAACACCCCATTTAATTTAAAAAAATAATAACATTAAAAAACTTCAATTTCAAGTATTTTTATTAAGGGCAGTAAGTATCACTTTTACTCCCAGTAAAACAATAGTCTATTTCCAAGATTTTAACAAGCTGTCATTTCGTTAAGGATGGAAATAATAATAAACGATGAGACCTTTAAAAAGAGGTATGACACACCCCCTATTCAGCTAGGGAGATGAAATAAACTTGAAAATAGTTCTCCCTCAAATCAAAATTCGACGAGTCCAGACGTGTTTTCAAATTTTCATTCCAAATTCAATAAATCGGAATTACATATCTGTTTTCCCTGGGACACCCTGTAGAATAGAAATAATGTAGGCCCCAACACTGACCCCTGAGGCACCCCCCATTTAATGTCTTACAGAGAGCTTTCCACATCATTGATGATAACCATCTGCCGTCTATCTGTTGCATAACTCTTAAACCAAAGCAGAGATAAGGCCCCTTACTCCAGCTTTACCAACTGTATTCTATGGTCTACAGTGTTGAAGACTTTTTGTAAATCAAGGGGCACATATTTGACCTCTATCTATTTTAAGCTGTATATCTGAGATTAAATCTATAACTGCTGTTTCAGTTTTCACAAAAACCATATTGACTTCCACTCATCAAATTATTAATATTCAAAAAGACCTGTAACCTTTAATTGACACATATCTCCACAATCTTGGATAACACAAACAAAACTGACACAGGTCTATGATTTGCTACTTCACTTCTGTCACCATCTTTGAACAAAGACGAAACCCAACAATCTTCAACTTACTGGGCACCATACCAGCTTCAAATGACAAGCCCATAACTTTTGCCAGAATCACTGCCGTTTCATGATTGAGTTTCTGCACACTGTTGACATCGATTCCATCAATCCCTGCAGCTTTATTTTTGTTCAATCCCTGTATTACGCATTCCACCCCAGCTACCACCACTGGTAGCTCCTTTATCATGGGAACAGTATTCAAAATATTATCCTCCTTATAAATTACTCTATTTACTGTATTCCATGTTTTCCTTTCATTTCCTATGTCCCTTTCAAATCGCCTGGTAACTATTTGTTTCTTTTCCCACTTCCCACTTGATTTGTTTTTTTTTACTTTCTCCTTGTAATATTTATATTTTGCTTTTTAATATTCATTATCGATGTGGATCTTCAGTTTTTTATAGAAATAATTCCTTTTTTTAATCAATAATAAAACCTTATTTGTTATGTACTATTTGCCTTCAACCTGTTGTTTCTGTTTGACAACCACTTGATTGTTGTCCACAAAAGCTCGCTCCAAACCACCATAGAGTACCTCCGCATCTGTATAATGATCCAGTCCTTCCATTATCTGTTTCAGACTCTCCCTTGTTACCAGAATGTCCACCCTCCTGAACGCCTGAAATTTAATTTCAGGTTCCCGTCTACAGTATAAGCTTCCAGGGATAGAAAGAACTTTTAATCTGTGGTTGCTGATGCTTAGCTTTGATAGTTTTCAGAAATACAAAACCTATTTTGCTAGGAATGTCTTTCTTTTATTACCTATCTTTTTTGTTAATTTTTTCCTCAGTATAGGTATGGATTTTTTTTTGATTTTTCAAAATTTGTGTAATGGGCTCTTTGGCGTATAAGGCCTAAAGTGTGTTTTTATTTAGAAACTTGGGTGCAAATCTTAGTTGTGTTTTCCAATTATGCCAACATTAAAAATTAGTAGCTGTTCACCTTATGTTCTTTGTTCCTTTCATATAGTTTTGGAAATATATTTTCCACTGTTACAAAAATTAAATGCCTTTGATTTCGATATAAACTTGCTCAGTCAAAAATTCTTCATAGAAATATTTATAAGATAAAGAACCTTGACACTAAATTAATAATTACAAAAAAAAAAACAACAATTCCTCATTAATAGGCGTGGCCATCTAGTATGGCCTGATATTCGAATCGTTTATTATTTCCCCATACAACAGGCAACACCGTAACAATTCGATTTTTGTTTCAGGACGTTCAAGAAGAAGTCCATAGGCAAGAAGCGAACCGACAGCACCACGAGGCCGTGCAAAGGCATCATCAACAAGAGGAATACAGGCAGGTCACATAATTTTAATAATAATTAATTTTGATTAATTAGAATTGAATGTTGTGACAGATTGATTTAATTAGTTTGAATTTAGGCAGCACCAGGAAGCCATACAACAGCACCGTCAAGCCATAGCGGAAGCGCAGGCGCGACAGCACCAGCTGCAACAGCAAACCCACCAGTTACAGCTTCAGCTGCAAAACAATCACCTTCAGGTAACTATTTATTTTTGTTTATTTTTTTATTGATGAATTTTATAGCACCATCTTCAAATAATTGTTTATAGTATAGCGCGGAAGCTTGATTTTGGGTCTAAGTTCACTTAAAACGAAAATCGACTGGTATTTAGGTTTGGTTGTATATGATTGTGTGGGACTTTTGGAGGTAGAAGAGAGAGCATAAAATTTGTAGGAGGAAAGCAGGGTAACTCGTTTTGTAATTTTTTTTTTTGGGGTCAAAATCAAGCTTTCGGAACGTTTAGAAGTCGATTTTTGAGTTGCCCTGTACAGGTTGACTTTGAGTACCTACTTTGGAGTAGCTCAAAATTGTTTAAATTTTCACTTTCTGTCTTGTTTTCGCACTTTAAGTGATCTGAGTTGCTTCAACTTGAGCTAGTTGACCTGTATACTTTCAAAAATTTTATGCTCTCCAAGCCTTCAAAAAAAAAAAACTCTAAAGTAAGTAAAAATAGAGTCCCCTAACTATCATATAAACTAACCCCAATACTAACCCTGAACTTAGACCTTTTTTCTAGGTTATGACCGTCACGGCTCCGTAAAATGTCCAACAACAACAACCACAGTCCCTCGATATCGTCGTCGGCCAAAATCCGTGGACCAGGCCGCCCCCCGAAAAAAACGCAACCCTGCACCTGGTGCCAGGAATCCAAACTCCAGTTGAAATACGTTTTTCCCACGACCAACGGCAAACGCGAGTTCTGCTCCGAAACGTGTTTGGCCGAGTTTCGTAAGGCGCGCACCTGCGTGCAGTGCAACAATGTCATTAGAGGCGCCAGCGCCTCTACTAACAAGGATTATTGTTCGAATTTTTGCCTGAATAAAGCCAAAAATGTGACTACCACTGTGGAAAATTTGCCCGTTACCTTTCAAAGTTTCGATTGGGAAGAGTATTTGCAAGAAACCGCCAGTGCGGCTGCGCCGCAAGGCTGTTTCAGACAAGTCGCTACTCCTCCAATAAACGATTTCAAAGTGGGCATGAAACTTGAAGCAATAGATCCCCGCAACGTAACTTCCACTTGCATCGCTACTGTGATTAGTACCTTGGGACCCAGACTACGTTTGAGATTAGATGGAAGTGACAACAAAAACGATTTTTGGCGTTTGGTTGATTCCAACGAAATCCACCCTATTGGACATTGTGAAAAGAGTGGCGGAATGCTTCAGCCGCCTTTGGGCTTCAGAATGAACGCTTCAAGTTGGCCAATGTTCCTGCTCAAGACGCTAAACGGAGCTGAAATGGCCCCAAGCAAAGTGTTCCAAAAAGAGATTCCCGGGCCCAAGCAAAACCTGTTTCAGGTGGGCCAAAAATTGGAAGCCGTGGACAAAAAAAATCCTCATTTGATTTGCTGTGCCACTGTTGGAGCTTTGAAAAATGAGCAAATACATGTTACGTTTGATGGTTGGAAGGGGGCTTTTGATTATTGGTGCCGTTATGACAGCCGCGACATTTTTCCAGTCGGCTGGTGTGCAAAGTCAGGACATCCCTTGCAACCTCCAGGGCAGAAAATAAACAAATTCAGCTTCAAACCGCAATTTATTCCGTTTGTGGCTCCACAAGTTGAAGTTGTGCAATCTGAAGCTGATACTTCAGCAAAATTGACACAAGTTTTTGTGCGGAAAACTTGCCAAGGAGGCCTTTTGAATGCATCATTATTACCAGAAATATTTGAGGATATTTCTTTTACAAATCTGGAAAAAAAACTTCTTGAAGCTTTGCTGCAAACTGAAGCAATATTGGAGAAAATCCAACAGTATGACAACAATGGCGAATTGATGGAAATTGCTTACAAAAACTATTCAATTAATTTGCAATTACCCAAAATTACTTCAGTTGAAGATTTCCAAACCTTCCTCACCGATTTGCAGGCTTTGCTAAACTATTGTCAAAACTTATTCAGTCTTGAAAAATCTGACGCAACAACCTGTCAACTGTGTCAAACACCAACAACAACCACAACCAATAAAACGTTGAAACGCAAATCGCCTCCTTCCGAATCCGAGGTAGCTTCTTCTACCTCATCCAAACTACCGATTCAAGAGTGGGGCATAGAGGAAGTGATTCACTACATAGACTCGCAAGACTCTTGTTTGGGGGCGCACGCTGACTTGTTTAGGCGGCACGAGATCGACGGCAAAGCGTTTTTGCTGCTCAACTCAGATATGATGATGAAATATATGGGCCTGAAGCTGGGGCCTGCCTTGAAAATTTGCAACCTGGTGTCCAGGCTCAAAGGTCGACGATTCGTTAATTAAGTTTCAAAAAATATTTTATTGTATTATATCCGTACTATAGAGTTGCAGAATAAAAATTATTTTTAAGTTGAAAATATTGGTGCTATAGAATTTATTTTTGTGTTTTTGTGGGAAAGTCATTGTAAGTAATGACTTTGTAGATATATAAATTTTTGTTTCTCTACTATTAGGTGTTACAGCAACACCAGCAGATCGCCCAATCGAAAGGCAGAATGCCGAAAAAAGCCGACGGTAAGCCCAGGGGGCGCATGACCGCCTACGCGTTCTTCGTCCAGACCTGCAGGGAGGAACACAAGAAGAAGCATCCGGAAGAGAACGTCGTGTTCGCCGAATTCTCCAAGAAGTGCGCCGAAAGGTGGAAGGTAAGAATCTTTTGTATGTAAAAAATATCTGAATCTGAATGATTGAATTTTATTGGTGTGAAACGCATTTTGCTATTTCAAATCGTTTTGCCGTTAGAGGGCGTTTCTCGATTTTGTAAAAACTTCATAACTTTTTTGTTTATAAAAATAATTGATTTTTTTGGTTTGTGCGGGTTGTAGTGATAGTCTGTGTTTTTTTAGGGACAAAATTAGTATATTTGTTCCAACATTAAATGGGCTGGACCTGTCAAAAAATAAATAACATATCGAACATTGAAAATGTTCCAAAAATGACATTGAAACAGTTTTTGCCTTAGAGTTCCAATAATTTTCATCCGATTTCAATGTAATAAAGCTCTAATTAATGCCAATTGAATTCTCTACAAACTCATTAATTAAGATTTTAATTTAGTTTCAACAGTTTTGCAGCTGAGAAGCTTCAAAACTGAAATTATTGAACATTGAAATTTTTTCAAAAATGATACTAAGACAGTTTTTGCCTCACAGCTTCGTTAATTTTCATCCGATTTCAAAGTAATTAAGCTCTAATTAATGCCAATTGAATTCTCTACAAACTCAGTTATAAGATTTTAATTGAGTTTCAACAGTTTTGCAGCTGAGAAGCTTCAAAACTGAAATTAACGAACATTGAATTTTTTTCAAAAATGACACTAAGACAGTTTTTGCCTCACAGCTTCGTTAATTTTTATCCGATTTCAATGTAATTGAGCTTCAATTGAAGCCAATAAAATTCTCTACAAACCTATCAAATAAGATTTCAATTTAGTTTCAACAATTTTGCAGCTGAGAAGCTTCAAAACTGAAATTATCGAACATTGAAAATTTCCCAAAAATGGCATTGCGACAGTTTGTGCCTCATAGCTCCATTAAATTTTATCCGATTCCAATGTAATTGAGCTTTAATTGAAGCCAATTAAATTATCTACAAACTTATCAATTAAGATTTCAATTTAGTTTCAAAAATTTTGCAGCTGAGAAGCTTCAAAACTGAAATTATCAAACATTGAAAATTTTCCAAACATGACACTGAAACAGTTTTTGCCTCATAGCTTCAGTAATTTTCATTTGATTATTTCAATGTAGTCAAACTCTAATTGAAGCTAGTTAAATTCTCTACAAACCTATTTATTGAGATCTTAATTTAGTTACAACAGTTTTTCAGCTAAGAAGCTTCAAAACTGAAATTATTGAACATTGAAAATTTTCCAAAAATGACACTGAGACAGTTTTTGCCTCATAGCTCCATTAATTTTCATCCGATTTTAACACAATTAGGCTCTTAATTTAAGCCAATTGAAATCTCTACAAACCTATTAATTAGGATATTAATTTAGTTTCAACAGTTTTGCACCTGAGAAGCTTCAAAATTGAAATTATCGAACATTGAAAATTTTCCAAAAATGACTCTGAGACAGTTTTTGCCTCATCGTTCCATTAAATTTTATCCAATTTCAATGCTATTAAGCTCTAATTGAAGTCAGTTAAATTTTTCACAAACCTATCTATTGAGATTTTAATTTAGTTTCAATAGTTTTATTATAATTAGGTCCGGTTTATTCATCTTCAGATAAACTTGCTGGTGTGGCAAGATAAATTTAGCGTTCCATATCTCTATTGGTCGGTGGATAACTGGCCGACCAATAGGATTGCGTTTTCATCTGTCAGATTGCATACCTGACAGTGCAGAAACTAGGACTGTTACAACAGAAATCCAGAAATGCGATGATGCCAAATTTCTTATTAGTAAATCATTTTTATTCCATTTTTATCGACATGATTCAATATACATATTTATCTTTGTCTAGCTCATACTGTAGATTCATCGAATCGAAACTTTTGATTTTGGAACCGAGGAAGCAGGGCTGGAACTCTGTAACGAATAGAGATATTTTCTCTATCTCTATTGACGTCTCCTCTCTATTGATTTCGACAAGAAAGAAGAAGACAGTAAGTGCTATAGCGATAGGGATAACGATCCTTATCCGTTACAGAGTTCCAGCCCAGGGTTTCTATGAGAGCACATGTCCTGTCCTCAGTTTTTTGCAAAGTCTCGTATGAGTGACGAAGAAATAGATAATGTTGCTCTTTTGTTTCAAAAATTGAGACCCTGTTGTGTTTCTATCCATTGTTGGGAAAGCGGAATTACGTATTCTATCCCTGTCTTTCAATAACAATTAGACAAAGATATTTGCTAAACGTACGTAAAATTAAACTCTTCATTTTACTGCTTACTACCCAAAATCTATTTGCGTCCTTTACTAAAATAAAGATAATTCCCCAAGTCAAAAATTTAGTAACTATGTTGGCAACACAAGTCTTTTCTATATAAAAAATTTGAAATTGCCAACATAATGTCATATTTACAAAATGAATGACCAAGCTTTCAATATTAAACTTGTTGAAGTAGCCTTGTTTATACAAGTAGAAAAATATAGGTTTCTTTGCTCATACGATAGAAAGATTGGAATTTTTCGTCATTTCACATTCTACAATTTTTCTTTTCTTTGTATGAGTGAACCTCATATACAGGGTGTCCCACGGTGGATGGCGTATTAGACGTTTATGGAGAACTAAAAAGCAGATCATTTTGAAAATTTGGCAACCGGAATAAATGACCGTGATCTACACTTTAAAAATATTTTTGTTCATGCGGTGTTGCCGCTTCTACAACTATCATTTGACACCAATTTTGAATTTAATCCACGATTAAAAATTTCAATTAAATTTAATCTCTGGTTAAATTCAAAGTTGGTGGCAAATGATTTTTACGAAAATCTAAGATAGGAATGTAAGATCGGTTTTCCTCTGAAATTAACCGTTTAGGTTTTACAGCCTGTCAAAGTTGCAAAAAGTCAATTTTCAACTGTCAATATTTCCAAAACAGTTGAACTTAGGTATAGGGTATATCACATAAAATCTGCTCAGAATTTTACGTAGAATCCAAATATGCAATCACATACAGGGTGTTTCATTTAAAATAGCGATGTTGCCACTGGTTTAGAGTAGAAGCGGCAACACCGCATAAACAAAAATATTTTTAAAGTGTAGATTATGGTCGTTTATCCCGGTTGCCAAATTTTCAAAATGATCCGCTTTTTAGTTCTCTATAAACGTCTAATACGCCATCCACCGTGGGACACCCTGTATGTACCCACAGTCTCCTGATTCTGCTCTTGTATCTTCGATTATAATATTATGAAATAACTGCTTCCTTCTCATCGCTCAACGTCTTGCATACACTACACTGAACGAACGCGTTTATTTTCGATCCTCGTGTATGAGAATTGAGTATCCAACTAATTTGTAACTGGCTCCTCTACTCAGCCTCATCGTTTATGGGTAGCTCTATGTGCGACAGGCCTTACATCTTACATGCGGAGATTTCCAGTGCAATAGAAAGAGATCGCAATTTAATAGGTAAAAGCTTCAGTGAAATAAGGACAGAGAAAAAGCGTTGAGGACCCAAAAAAACGCTTTCTTGAACGCTGTGAGCAACAATTCCTCGTTACAACGTGTCAAATGATCAAAACTACAAAATGTGATGCCCGACTATTCATAATCATGCACAGTGCATAAATATTCCATGAAACTGCAACACCGGCTAGTTTTCTTTGGCAGTATTTTCGTTCTCTTTTTAACTTTAAATCTGACCTGTTTTCTCGTGGTGGAACTGGCTACCTGTTCAATAAGGTTCGAACCTGTACATTCTTGCATTGATCCAGTAATGTCACATTGAAACTGGTTCAAAAATGTTCAAACCGGACTCATGGCTTGTTCTCCGTTGACATAAGACTGTGGTTCAAATCTTTCATTTTCTCGCTTTCACAAGTGATGATGTCATCTACAAATTGGTACCTGTAGTTCGAACCATTCGCCTCGCGAGAAAAAGCCTCTGATCTCGACATTCCATTCTATTGCATCAAAATTGGCCTGTAAGATGTTGACTTGTCCAACCTGTATCTATCTTTGTCTAGCTCATGTGGATCCTGTTGTGTCGTTTCAGATTACTTCGGGATATGTTGTTTCCTTTATTAATTATTAGACAAAGACAAAGATGTCTGTTAAAATATAATAAAAATAAAATTCGTTATTTCATTGGTTATTACTACAGTGACTCAATTAACATTTACAGACAGTGGCGACAATAAGAGGACCCGTACCATATTCTTGCTCATTTTCAATATGATGACTATACAGGGTGTCTAAAATACCATGGGTCACCATTGGGATATCAAAAAACGGTGGGAAATACGAGGGCGGTTAAATGAGAAAAAAGTTTCTATTTTCGAAGAGTATCACAAAAAATATATTTTCGTTGTTGCCAAATTTCAATTAGTTTCCCAGATACAGGGTGATTTATAAAAAACACCTAAAACTGCTTTTTTTTACAAATCACTTTGTATCTCTGAAACTAATTCAACCGCCCTAGAATCTCTTACCGTTTTCGATATACATACTAATGTCACACCCTGTATAGAATTTTGTGGAACCAATAAAAAATAGTCGCCACTGTCGTTTATTATGTCACTGTACTAAAATCTATTTGTGTCCTTTACTAAACTATAAAACGATAAAGGACATGTACAGTTGTGATCAAAAAAAATTAGTACAAAAATTATTAACTCCAATTTGAGCTCCCGGTGTAACATACAAAATTTTGACAGTAAATAAACAGGCAATGACATATTCTAGGTTAAAAACGGGTGGAAATATGCTAAAGTAATGTCAATTGAAGCTTTCTAGGTTAGAAACTTGTCGAAAAATGCCAAAAATATGTCATTTTTGGTTATGAATTGAATTAATGTATAATAGACCAGGAGATTTTGGAGATTTTTCTTGTACTACTTTTTTTTGATCGCAACTAACTGTACATATGTGTAATTGATAAACTGTCGTTACCTAGTACAGTGAACCTGAATGCTTTGTTTTGGTTTGCAATTTGAAACGGTTCTGGGTTTGCACAGCAAAAAATAATGAAGGACTGTTCTGATACTTAGTTCGGAACCAAAAAACAAGCCGCAAATCACAAAATTCCAAAACAGTTCCTTCTTCAGAACAAGAGCTTAGTTCTAGAACAATTTCCAAAATTGTTCTAAATAATTCAAAACGCCATCAACATAGTCCGATTACGATTCTGAAAACAAGAAAATGCTTTTCAACATACGCATGTGGCATGTGCAGAATGAAACCAAAACAAAGCTTTTGTCTCGAGTTTATGTTGTAATATCTCAAGGTATTTAGGGGTTCTTAGGCCCTTAGGAAAACTACTATGTTGGTTTACTCTAAATGTATATTGGTCTAATTAATGGTTTTACACCAGCGATCACCGGATGCCCCGATCAGTTTTTGGTTATTGTCCCTGCTGACTTAACGTTTAGGTAACGGAAATATAATATTAGCTAACTACAGTGTATTTTTTCCCAAGATAGATTTTGTCAATGACAACTTTGGAACATAAACAATGCCGCTGTCTAGTCGCAAGATGCCGTGTATCTGCATTCGACGAAGGTATCGTTTTCCAACCATGTAAAAGGATACCTCACCTGCAAGGATATGGCATTTTGCGACTAATCAGAGCCACGCGGTATTGTTTAAGTTTTAAAATTGACAATGTCAAAATTTATCTTGGAAAAAAATAGTCTAATCAATCTGCACCATCAGATGTCATACAGGGTGTATTTACCCTATTACAATGTTGCCAAATCTTCTTTTGAATCTATATATCTATAGTTTAACCAAATCCAAGTGGCGGTAATAACATTAAATAACCTAAATTGTAAACAAATACCAGCTGGAAATCCAGCCTTCCTATTGGTTGAAACGCCCCATCAGGACCAGTGCACATGCACAAATGACCAGTTATGTCATTACTGCCACTTAGATTTGGTTCAGCTATAGACACCATTAGCAATGATTTTTGAAAAATTGTACAAGGTGTCCGGAATAACTTGAAGTACCTACATACATAGAGATTTTTCAAAAATGATTGGGACAGTTTTTGCCTCAAAGCTCCAATAATTTGCATCCGATTTCAATGTAATTAAGCTCTAATTGAAGCCAATTAAATTCTCTATAAACCTATTATTCAAGATTTTAATTTAATTTCAACAGTTTTGCAGCTAAGAAGCTCCAAAATTGAAATTATAGGACATTGAAAATTTCCCAAAAGACAGTTTTTGCCTCAGCTCCAATAATTTTCATCCGATTTCAATGTAATTAAGCTCTAATTGAAGCCAATTAAATTCTCTAGAAATCTATCAATTCGGATATTATTTAGTTTCAACAGTTTTGTACCTGAGAAGATTCAAAATTGAAATTATCAAACATTGGATTTTTTTTAAAAATGACACTGGTACAGTTTTTGCCTCATAGCTCCAATAATTTTCATTCGATTTCAATGTATTTAAGCTCTAATTGAAGCCAATTAAATTCTATACAAACCTATCAATTAAGGTTTCAATTTAGTTTCAACAGTTTTGCAGCTGAGAAGCTTGAAAACTGAAATTATCGAACATTGAAAATTTTCCAAAAATGACACTGAGACAGTTTTTGCTTCACATCTCTGTTAATTTTTATCCGATTTCCACAAAATTAAGCTCTAATTAAAGCTAATTAAATTCTTCATAAACCTATCAATCTAGATTTTGATTTAGTTTCAACAGTTTTGCACCTGAGAAGTTTCAAAATTGGAATTATAGGAGATTGAAAATTTTCCAAAAATCACATTCAGACAGTTTTTGCCTGGCAGCTCTGTTAATTTTCATCCGATTTCAATGTTATTAAGTTCTAATTAAAGCCAATTAGATTCTCTACCAACCTATTACATAATTAATCTACGTCGTTATCATTATGACACATTTAGCATTGTCATTTGAATGTCATTAGATCCCTCATAATAGCACTAGTGCGTTTAAGAATTCATAAAAACACCCAAATTATGAAATGAAAAATATACAAAAAGAAAGCTAGTTACCAAAAGAACCTTTTCATTGATGCTGTCTCGATATTCGACAGGAAACTTTCGAATTCAGAATCACCAATATTAACATTATTTTCCACTATAAAACTCAATTTATGGTACAAAAGTTGACTCCAATATTGAAGCTGCCAAAGTCAAAATTCTGAAAATCAATAAGCAGGTTCCCAATTAGTACAAGCACCTGCTAAATTTTGAATTTTAATTAGAAAAGTTTTTGCTATTTCAAGACAAATCAAATCTATTTAGATCGTTGTAGATTAAATTTTGAATGATACACGTTCGATATGAACTTTATTAATGAAACTTGTGTAACTAAACCACTCGGCTAACGCCTCGTGGTTTAACGTTACACGCGTTTCATTATGCTGTTCATATTGAACTAGTATCATTAATAACTATAAGATTCTAATTTAGTTTCAACAGTTTCGCACCTGAAAAGCTTCAAAATTGAAATTAAATGACACTGAGACAGTTTTTGTCTAACAGCTCCATTAATTTTCATTCAGTTTCAATGTAATTAAGCTCTAATTGAAGCCAATTAAATTCTCTACAAACCTGTTAATCAAGAGTTAATTTGGTTATTCACTAGTTTATTAGTATTTAGAAACATTTTTTTGAAATAGTTATTTTTTGTCACAAGTACGTAAAATGAAGTTTTTCAGGACGAATCAATACTGTTTCGTCCGGATTAGCAGATTAGTCCTGAAAAACTTTGTTAGGTACGGGTGACAAACACTATTTTTTGTCATACGCTTTTTAGAATTCCGAATGAGTCCGTAAAATAGCTGTTTTTGGGAGTGTATGACAAAAATCGTTATTTATTATACAAGGGAAAAAAGTACTAGAATTTAGATCTTATCTTAAAATCTTACTTTTTTCCCATGTATAATACACTATTTTTTTCTATGACGGGAAAATCTCAACATTTTCCATCTATACATTATTCCCTTTGAGAAAAAAATTTGACTGGTACCTGTTACTTTTTTCCTGTGGGAAAAAAAATCACTTTTTTCCCATGGGAGAAAAAGTGACATTTTTGTCCCAAAAAGTCTACTTTTTTCCCGTCATAGAAAAAATACATTTTGTTGGGTGAAAGTTTTTTCTACTTTTTAATTTACCCTCGTAAATGTTTGTTGTCAAATAAGCAACCCATTATTTTGATCGTTTCCATGGCAACCACGCAATCGCGCACGCCTCAAACAATATACAGGGTCCGCTCAAAAACTAATCTCCTATTGAAAATTTTCAGACAATGTTGGACAAGGAAAAGAAACGTTTCCACGAGATGGCCGAGGGCGACAAGAAACGTTACGACACCGAAATGCAAAGCTACACGCCGCCCAAGGGCGAAAAGCAGCGCGGCAAAAAGAGGAAACAGATCAAGGACCCGAACGCGCCGAAGCGCTCCCTGTCGGCCTTTTTCTGGTTCAGCAACGACGAGCGCGGTAAAGTCAAGGCCCAGAACCCCGAGTACGGAGTCGGCGACATCGCCAAAGAATTGGGCAGAAGGTGGGCGGATGCCGATCCGGAAATGCGCGGCAAATTCGAAGCTTTGGCTGACAAGGACAAGGCCAGATATGAAAAGGTAATTTTGTAGTTCTAAGATTTTTTTTGCACAGCTTGATCAGTTATCAATCGATTATTTTTCCATCGATTTTTGGCTATAAATCTTGTGCTAAAGCAAATTGAAAAATGCGTTATCTTTTTAATTAAATTTGATTTTAATTTAAAATGCTCATTTTTCAAACAAATTACTTGTATTAAGTGTAAGTTTCTATCTTGTTATTTTTTCAAGGAAATGACGGCATACAAAAAAAAGACGAACCCTGCCCTGCAGGCGCAGGCGCCGCCAATGCCAGTACCTGAAGAAGATCCGGAAGATGATGACGAGGTAGACGACGAGGATGACGATTAAACCGGCTGGCGATAAAATTTGCACCGGGCGCCCTCTGTGTGTGTGTTTGTTGCCGTCTTCGTTCTCTCAGGTTTTTGTTTCATTTCAAATACATAATTTCAAAAAATGTAAAACCGGGGGCTGGAGTCGATTCCACCATATTTTTTTTTTTCGTTTTTAATTCAAATTGATTGCAGCCCCTTTCATTTATTTTGTAAATAGTTAAACTAGTAATTATTAATCTTAATTAGTTTTTTTCATTTTATTTTTTAATAATCGTTGGTTAGCTGTTCAGTGGATTTGTTGCGCAAATGGTAGAAAACAGGTTTTTTTTTCTAGAACAAATTGAATAATGGCCATGTAAGCAATAATTGGAAATTGGAAGATGTAAAACATTCTACAACGGATAATAATATTTCATGTTTCATAACAATAAAGCATTTTTTGATTTGATTTGATTTATAATAATAATGCAGCTAAATAAGTACTTGTGCAATTCTGCTGTTCTAGTAAGTACTATTCTCGTATTTGTATAAATGCCAAGAAGTTTTTTTTTGCCATTTGTCGCACATAACTGACTGAAGCGAGAAAAAAAAAAAAAGAAAAAGAAAAGTGTGTTGTGGCGTAATTTTATTATTATTACTACTGTACAGTATGTGTATTAGTTTTCTTTTCCCACCTATAAAATTGCCAAATAATTGATTACAATAATACAAGTGGCTTGAAGCCATCAAGAGTACAAAATTGCCCCCCAGAAAAATTTTCATTCAGAACAATTATTTGGTATTTTTTTTCTTGGTGAGCCAATTTTCACATTTTTTTTTTTTTTTTTGGATGAAGTAGGTTCTTTGAATTTGCAAACAACTGAAGTGGAGTAAATCGTCACACTTTACATCAAATTCGTTTGCCTATTTTGCATTATTTAATTTAATTTAAATTATTCCCTAGAACATTTTTTACCTCCTTATTAATTTATTGATTAGACAATACAAATGATTTAGATAAGGGTGTATTTTTGAAAAAAGCAGGCTTTTTGGGAGGGGGCTTAAAAAAAACATGCAAAAGTAACGGTTGATAACGGAAATTTATTTCATAATGGAAAGACTTTTGTTGAAATGTACTGTAATATGTTGTCGCTCCTGTTTAAGGTAGGGCCACGTTTTATTTTTTTTTTTAAATAGTTTTTATTTTTTTCAACTATGTATTTAAATACCTGTAGAAGCAAAATGTTTTCTTTTTTATATAATGTAATAATAATGTCTAGGGAGAATAATGATATAAAATAATAAAAAAAGTTTTCGACAAAAGTTATTTGTGATTTATTTTTTCCCATTTGTTTTCACATCCTTTTGATTTATTCCAGGCTCTAGAGAAATATTGAACGTGTGGAATTGTTTTTTTCGAAGTTTACAGAGTTTTAGAAAATATTGCAAATACTTGAAGGCAAGTGTAATTTCGAAATAAATTAATAAATAAAAATGGCAAAATTAAACAAAAAATTACATGACTGAAGACGACATTGGCTAAAGCCTACGAAAGAGTAGAGCTGCCATGCTAATATTGAAAAATGTTTACATGAAAATTTACAGTTTTTCTGTAAATTTAGTTAATAGTAAGGGTTAGCTTGCAATTTTAATCAGACATTTCCCAACTTACTAATAATAGCTCGGTTAGTTTGGCTTACTTTGCAATTTTAATCAGAGATCACCAAACTTACTGATAATAACCCGGTAAGTTTGCAGTTTTAATATTAATAAACTTTCAACGATAATAATCCGGTTAGTTTGCGATTTTAATCAATTATTACCATTATTATGTTTTCAAAATTATTGATTTTTGAAATATTAATTCTCGAAATAAGCATTTTCGAAAAATATATTTTCAAAATTATTTATTTTGAAAGAAAAGATTCGAAATAACCGTTTTCAAAAAGGTTTATTTTCGAAAACACAGCATTCGGAAAAAAATCGAAATTTGCCAACTAACACAAACTAACCGGGTTATTATTGGTAAGTTTGGTAATGTCTTTTTAAAACTGCAAATTAACTGGGTTATTATCCGCAAGTTTGGTGTGGTGATGTCTGATTAAAATTGCTAACTAACCCAAACTACCCGGGTTATTATTGGTGAGTTTGTAGATAGCTGAATACAATTACATACTATCCCAAAGTATTCAGGTCATTATCGGTAAGTCTGGGAATGTTTGTATAAAATTGCAAAATAACCTGGTTAATATCGTTGAATTTGGTGGTCTGATTAAAATTGCAAGGCAACCCAAACTAACCGGGTTATTATTGGTAAGATTGGCAATGTCTGATTAAAATTGCAAGCTGACCCAAACTAACCCTAACTATACACTAAATTTACAGAAAAAGTGACAAAAGCGTTAATTTACAGAAAAAGTGTAAAGTTACAGAAAAAGTGTAAATTTACAGAAAAACTGTAAATTTCTATTAAAATATTTTTCAATATAATCATGGCAGCTCTACGCTTTCGTAAAAGCCACAATAGAAATGCAAAATTTAATATTTGTTGATAATTGTTTCTGGAAGTACATATTTTATGTAAGATCTCCCTGACAGTGCTTCAGAGGCGGGATTCTGTAATGGATAGAGATCATTATCCCTATCGCTATAATGCTTACTTTTCATGCATCCGTTTATCCGTTGATCCGGAAGCATTCCTATTGGTCCAATATGCTGGCTCCAAAATATTGGACCAATAGGAATACTTCCGGATTGACGGATAAACGGATGCATGAAAAGTAACCCTAACACTTACTGTCTTCTGTCTTTTTGAAATTAATAAAGAGGGGACATCAATAAAGATAAAAAAAAACAGTATTTATTTAAACAAAAAATTACGTGACTTGTAGAGCCACCTTTACCGTTAGGACGTAGGGTCGCAAGGAGAATACACACTCTAAAGGTACGGTTTGTTAGGATAGTACGACAACGTAAACGTCGTCATTGCACCGGCGTATCCAGACCATGCGTCTGGGGGGGGGGGGGTAATTAGTCCAAACCAGCCCGCCGGAGACGAAAACTTTTTACCGAACTTTGGGAATCCCCAAAAACTTTCAATTTATAGCGGATTCTATAGGTAGAACGATCTAAGGGTAGAACCAGTGCAAAAAATTTATTTCTATCTCTTTTTTATGCAAACTAGTAGAAAAAGACACGAAATACGCTCAGTGCGCACTATCCCTTTCAATAGAATTCGCTATAAATGGCATGCGGGCAGGTGCGGACACTGTGCAAACTAGAAAACAAGTTTGTAGAGAAACAATAATGGGATCCAGCGTCAGCCTTTAGATCGCAGTCACGTCGCAGCAGTACTTGGGCAACTTGGCAGTCTGACTGTTCTATAATAGTTTTTTCTTCATACTTACTATGGGCCAGTTTCTCAATAGCGAGTCACCTCCGGGTTGGTTTTAACTCCAGGGGCCCAATTCTTGAAAAATATTGCATACGAAATTTGATATGATTTCGAACGCTTCCATTTAATTTACATTGCTGTCAGTCAAATTCGTATCAAATTTTGAATGCGATATTTTTCAAGACTTGGGCTAGGTTGAACGTGTCCAGTTGCAATGTTTATCCTGGAGTTATGCTTAACCCAGAGGTGACCCGATCGAAAAGGTGTTAAAATATAATTAACGGCCGCCGGCCGTGATTTTCAAACATACCCCTGCCTGAATAGGAAGAGTGTATAACATATAAAAATATTAGAGAGTTATGGAATAGCTTTTTCTTGTACCTACCTAGTATGACCTGTACCTGCTCCCAACATTAATATACTAGAGGTGTTTTCTGGCGTCTCAAAGTTTTGAAACATTCTTCAAAACTTGTTTAAAACAGTTTCACAATGACGTCATAATTTCTCGGCGCAAGAAAATGGGTTTAGAACGTGGATTGGATTGTATTTCGAAACGGTTTGAACCAATTTTGATGTGACGTCATGAGTTAATCGCGAGAATATATTATTTCAAACCTGTTTCAAAAAAGTTAACGCGAGAAAACAGCTTTGGTTTAAGGCAAACACGTGACATGCCAGCGCCTGCACTGCGAAATCGGAATAGGTAAATTTAATATTTGGTAATAAGTTCACGGAACAGGCAGGCCATACCTATTCCAAAAGAACAGGTCCAGTTCCAGCGTAACATCCTTAAAAAATATAAAAAAATAGATTTATTTGTAAGGTGTAGGGTATATATTTTTCGTCCATCGCAACGATCTTGGGGGGGTAATTACCCCCATTACCCCCCCCCCCCCCCTTGTATACGCCGGTGCGTCATTGGTTCAGGTATGACGTACACCCGTTTTCTGACGCTGACGCTGACGTCAGACAACGGGTGTACGGCATACCTGAACTAATGACGACGTTTACGATGTCAGTTGTGCGTCGCTTACTATCCTAACAAACCGTACCTTAAAGGTACGGTTTGTTAGGATAGTACGCGACGTACAACTGACAACGTAAACGTCGTCATTGGTTCAAGTATTAAGTACACCCGTTTTCTGACGTCAGAAAACGGGTGCACGCACAACTGACAACGTAAACGTCGTCATTGGTTCAGGTATGACGTACACCCGTTACCTGACGTCAGCGTCAGCGTCAGAAAACGGGTGTACGTCATTCCTGAACCAATGACAACATTTACGTTGTCAGTTGTGCGTCGTACCTTTAAGGTACGGTTTGTTAGGAGAGTACGCGTCGCACAACTGAAAACGTAAACGTCGTCATTGGTTCAGGTATGAACATAGGTATGACGTACACCCGTTTTTTCACGTCAGAAGACGGGTGTACGTCATTCCTGAACCAATGACAACGTTTACGTTGTCAGTTGTGCGTCGCGTACTACCCTAACAAATCGTACCTTAAGGAGTGCTTATTATCGGCCTCGTTTTTGGTAATCGGCGCCATATTGGTTTTCAACCATTGCTGACGTCATAACTAAGTCGTCAGCTGTTTAAGCGGCCTACGTCAAGGCGAGAAACGCCATGCTGCTTACGTCACAACTGGTTGTTCGGCCTAGGGGTGTAGGGGGGGATTTGTTACACACAGGCCTTATGAGGATAGGCCATCCTGTAGTAGTAATGTGTATCATCCTTGGTAGGGTCGTACATCTCTAGTTGTATTCCTTTTACACCTAGGAGGAGCTCACAGGGGCCTTATTCTGTAAAAAACGAAGCGTTCGATTCGGTAGAATTTCTTCGATTGTGACGTCATTTTTGGTTTGGTAGCGCGAAATACCGCGAAAACCAAACCGAAAATGACGTCACAATCGAAGAAATTCTACCGAATCGAACGGCTCGTTCCTTACAGAATACGGCCGCTGGGCTTCACGCGCTTATTCCTTTCGAAAAGTGTTCGTTGCACCATGGATCTGTTCCCTGCAAATCGGGGCCTACTGAACACCGGAGCGCATAGCTCGATTGTTTCAAACTCTTGAAAGGATTACAACTTCTGGGTCATACTCAAAAGAAAGATTGCGACTGGTGGAACTTGCTACAATACAAATGCGAAATTTAATCAATATATCATCTTTCTTAAAGGAACACTATTTATAAAGATTGTAGATTGTAGAGGAGATTCTATTATGTGAATGTAAAGCAAAATTCTCCTGTCAAAATGACGTCATATAAAATTATATTTAGGCAATGCCGTAAGGCTACCATAATATTCTGATAAAAAAACGGGACATTTTTATGAAGCAGATGTTTCATGTATTTAAGAAAAAATAGCGCCGCAGGCGAATTTCTGTTTTTTCGGGACCCCGCCCGTAGATCAAACTCACGGATAATACACACTACTACTACAGGATAGCCTATCCTCATAAGGCCTGTGTAGAACAAATCTGAAGCCTCCTACCTATTGAGATATTATATAAAAGGAGACGCTGTTGCCGTATACGAGTATGCATTGATAACGGGATCATTAGGAGCTTATTCCAGCACCAATATAGCCGCTGTATCAGGGTTGGATTCAGCTCAAATGTCATATTTGTTTACTTCATATACCTCAAATAAACTACGCGTCAATCGAACTCGAACACCCCAATTTTTGGTCACTTTTTGTGCGACCATAACTCAAAATCCAGCAGGCCGATTTTGTTCAAATTTTCAGGAGTGAAAGGATGCTCTAATTGCTATTTAATTTCCAGTTCTTAACAGATTTCCGGCCACCTGCTAAAAGATACAGGGTGAAACATAAGTTGGCGATTTTTGTGCGAAAGTTTGGGTTCACCCCATTCTGCTGAAGGGAGGGTTAAGTAGATTTTTGGTATGCAGTTCGGAAGAGTACCTAAGTACCTCGAGACGTTTTTGAGATTTTTCGAATATCGCTGCCTACTACGATTTTATCATGAGTTATACGATTTTATGTAAAATATAGCTATTGACGTCATTATTTCTTTTCGAAACAAACACTACAAGAATGGCGCATGTGAAAACACACTTAGAACACAGGGTGATACAAAAATATATAGGGTGTTCTGATAAGAGTTTCCGGATGTTTTTCTCAATTCAAACGAAAAGGAAAGATTTAATACTTTACAGCAATAAGTAACATGCGTCCTTACTCTTGAAACAGAGGAGCAGCGTTTCCAGGAGAACGAGTGTTCTATCTCTCAATGGAATGGAAATTATAATATAAGTAACAAAGATGGAACACTCGTTCTCCTAGGATCGCTGCTCCCCTGTTTCAAGAATAAGGCTCATGATCGTTTATAATTATACGTGAAACGCAATATCCAACAAATGGCCACCACGACTTCTCCCACAGCACACAATTTTTTTGCCAAAACTTTCGATCACATCTATGCATATTTCCGGTGGTATCTCACGAATAATACGCCTAATCTCATCTTTCAACTCTTGAATTGTTTGGGGGATTGTTAGAATACGCTTTGCTTTTGATGTAACCCCACAAAAAGAGTCTAGTGACGTTAGATCGCAAGATCTAGGCGGCCAATTGACATCCCCATTTCTTGAAAGAAGTTTACCTTCCAAATCATGTTTGCAATAAGTCAATGGTTTATCTTGATGTGTGACATTTTGCTTACATCAAAAGAAAAGCGTATGTGAACAATCCCCAAACAATTCAAGAATTGAAAGATGTGATTCGGCGCATTATTCGTGAGGTACCACCGGAAATGTGCACAGATGTAATCGAAAATGTTGACAAAAGAATTGTGTGCTGTGAGAGGAGTCGCGATGGCTATTTGTTGGATATTGTGTTTTACGTATAATTGTTAACGATCATGTTACTTATTACTATAAAGTATTAAATGTTTCCTAGTTTCCTTTTCATTTGAATTTAAAAAACCATCCGGAAATACTTATCAGAACACCCTATATACTTTTGTATGACCCTGTATAATATGTTCTAAGTGTGTTTACACATGCGCCATAATTGTAGTGTTTGTTTCGAAAGAAATAATGACGTCAATAGCTATACTTTACATAAAATCGTATAACTCATGATAAAATCGTAGTCGGCTGCGATATTCAAAAAATCTCAAAAACGTCTCGAGGTACTAAGGTACTCTTCTGAACTGCATGCCAAAAATCTACTTAACCCTCCCTCCAGCAGAATAGGGTGAACTCAAACTTTCGTAAAGAAATCGCCAACTTATGTTTTACCCTGTATCTTTTAGCAGGTGGACAAAAATCTGTTAGCAAATGGAAATTAATTAGCAATTAGAGCGGCCTTTCACTCCTGAAAACTTAAATAAAATCGGCCTGCTAGATTTTGAGTTATGGCCTTACAAAAAGTGACCAAAAATTGGGGTGTTCTTCTCCTCAAGATACCTCTGGGCTCTGGTTAGAAAATAGACACACTATATATTTTTTTATGACCCTGTATAATATGTTTTAAAGTGTGTTTCCACATGCGCCATAATTGTAGTGTTTGTTTCGAAAGAAATAATGACGTCAATAGCTATATTTTACATAAAATCTCATAACTCAAGATAAAATCGTAGTGGGCTGCGTTATTCAAAAAATCTCAAAAAAGTCCCGAGGTACTAAGATACTCTTCCGAACTGCATACCAAAAATCTACTTAACCCTCCCTTCAGCAGAATGGGGTGAACCCAAACTTTCGCAAAAAAATCGCCAACTTATGTTTCACCCTGTATCTTTTAGCAGGTGGCCGGAAATCTGTTAAGAACTGGAAATTAAATAGCAATTAGAGCATCCTTTCACTCCTGAAAGTTTGAACAAAATCGGCCTGCTAGATTTTGAGTTATGGCCTCTCAAAAAGTGACCAAAAATTGGGGTGTTCGACTTTTATCTTTAAAAAAAAAACACATTTTAACTACATATTAAAACCAGCTAACTCTCACGCGCATCTTTTCTGCGCACGCCGCCATTAGGGGATACCATCCTGTCATTAAACGGCAGGGAAGCCGAAATTTTATTTTATTTCTTTATTTCTGACGGAAGTCATAGGCGTGCGATGTAAAGCGGAATTTTAATTATGTTTTTCGAAGTGATTTTAGTATATTCGTAGTTGTCATTTATAGTGTTATCTGTTATCATTGTTGTATATTTAATAATAATAATAATAATAAATTGTAATTATAAATATTATTATATGTAACTATGTAAGTAATAATAAATTAGTTTTTTTACTACTAACCTGAGAAATAGACATTATTCAATCTATTTTTCTAAGAAAAAATTGAATTTCTCTCCCTAGGTTATTAATGAAAATGACGTCATGACACAAGGATATTGTACCATGTTTCTATTGGTTCAATTTCATTTCCATACGTCAATTTGAAAAAAAATACAGGTTTCTGTAGGTACATAGGAAGTTATCATAAGCTGTTGATAGAGCGCAGCACTTTCAAGAGGGCGTTCAAAAAAAAATAATTGGAGCACAGATTTTAAACAAATTTTTCATTTTCTACTAGCAGTAGTAAAAAAAATTCTATATATTCCTCGGTAGAGAAAGTCATTATATACCTCACTCATTATAAACCTCGGCGCGAGCGCCTCGGTTTATAAAAGCGCTCGGTATATAAGGACCAACTTCTCTACCTAGGTATATAATATACTATTATTTAAAGCCAATACGACTCTGTGACAGGAAAGAAAAAACCTAAATTATCGTTAATCAAGCCCTGTTTCGTATCCCAAAATGGCCGCTAGTGACATTTCAACGATGAATTCCTTTATTACACGGGCTGTCACTCAAGTTAGCCTGCTGATTGTTTTTGTATATGCTGTGTTAAAACTACAACAAAAACTTGGAAGTCCGATCCTGAATGTTGTTTATACTCACCTATGGAATGATATTCCCGTTGATTTCATCGTTTCTACGCCAAACCTGCTACAGCAACTTCTTACTGCACATGAAGACATTATACTTCTCTCATACACAACACAAGAAAGTGGAAAAAACCCCAAAATAAGCAAAAATTGCGTATTACGTCTCGAAATCAGAAATTGAGTATGACAGTTGTAATGTCACTAGGTAAGTAATGACACAAAACCAGCACTAGTATGGCGGACCCCCACCACTTTTTGTCAGGTGACGTCGCCTCCTCCCCTATATACTACCTCAATGCCCCTGCCCCACCAAATCACCATCTGTGACGTAGCCAGCATGTCGTTTCTCGCCTTGACCTAGGCTGTTTGCACCACAGGAATCAACGCTTTTACTTTATGCATACTTGGTTTTACTACATTAATTAACATTTTAAAACAACTATTTTTCAGATCTCGTTTGCATCTTCCTATTTGCCTATTATGTTAATCAAAATTAAATAATATTTTTCATCATAGATTTAAATTCTAAACTACGACGGCTGGCGCAAACAGCCGACGTCACTGACGACTTAGTTGATGACGTCGGCAATGGTGATACACCAATATGGCGGCCATTACCAAAAATGAGGCTGATAAGCAATATAGCAATCCTTAGTGGTGATTATTACCCTTGGGCCGAATTCGCCAAATTCTTAACTGTCAAATGTTAAATGCTATCGAATAACCAGCACGTTGCGATTTGCTGAGACTAGAGATGAGGGAATGAGGGGCAAAATCGAATTACCTATTTCACGCTTTTTGAAATATCAGAGAATACAGGACATTTACGCGTCCCGACAACAAATTTAGGGACGCGGGACATGGACCTTGGAATAAGGGACTGTCCCGTATAATACGGGACGTATGGCAGGCTTTGGCAATGGTCCGAATATAACCAAACGTTAACCAAAAGCATTGTACTTTTTATACAATGCCAAAAGTAACCGAATCGGTTGACATATAGTTACTGAAAATTCCGGTTACTTGGGGAGCGAGAATATGAAATAAAAAATAATTGACAGATAAAACCAACCATGGGCGCCGCCAGGATCAGTTTCAGGGAGGTGCATACAGGCAGTGGCGGCGCCTCGATTGATATATTGGTTCAAATCCCTAATTTAGGAAGGTGAATGCGGAGGCGTGAAATTTTTTCCGGGTGCCACGCCCAAAAAAGGTTATTTTGAGCTTTAAAAAATATAGTTTTTTTAGGTGATTGGGTTAGTTTGGGTTATATGTTGTTTTTACTTTGGTATTTTCTCACTCACTACTAATTAAACATATTGCTAGGTGTCAAGGGATTTGATCTTTACCAAACAACCTTCTCGCAATTTGATACTTTTTTCGAGTTATCAAATAGTAGAAATTAAAGAAATTTATATCAATAAACTTAATTCGAAATTCCCGCCATTGTACAGGTCGATGGCGCGCGAAATAAAAATAAAATAACCCGATTCAAACAGTAACTCATTAAAAAAAAAATTATTAATAAAATAAGAAATAATAGGTCTGTTTCTGCAGAAATCACAAACCAGTCAGTGTGAATTTCATTGGTGGAAACTAGTTTTCTGACTGTTTTCAACAACCAATGAAATTCGCTGTGACTGGTTTGTGATTTCTGCAGAAACAGACCTAATGTTTTCAATGTATTTCTGACAGGGGGGTGCAAGTGCACCCCCTTGCACCCCGCTGCCGGCGCCCATGAAACCAACAGAACCGACATCCGATAGCTGGTAACTATTTTGACATTTGGTTAATCAAATTTCAGGAAACAAAGGTCCAAAAATAACCACTTTTTCAGGAACCAGACTAATTTGATCATTTACTGTCGGACCGCGAAACCACAACCCTGTTGTATTCGGACCGCAGCTTATTATTGTGATCCGGCGAATTGTAAACTTGCCTTAACGCCGCGTAAGCCTTCTTTTGAAGTTTGGACATAACCAAACATTTCAGTTGTCAAAAAATAATCCGGTTTGTTTACGTGTGCATTTTGAATTTTTATTTATTCCCGAAAAATTGGGAGTTTTGACTTAAAATCCTCAAAGTCGTTCTTGTAGAAGATCCAAAAGTTTTTCGTATTTACTACTAAAATAACATTAAGGTTAGAATTTCTAATGCACCAATCATCATGTCTTTTGTAGTGTATTTAAGCAGAAGATCGCGTACGATACGTTTATTGGTTTTTGGGGTGATTTTAGTTTTAGTTATTTACTTATTAGCTACTTACGATAAGGATACGAATAGTAATTTTCGATTAGCAAGGCTTACACAGGTAAATATTATTTTTTCTGTATGTATTTCATGAAATAACTTGATAAAAACCCAATTTTTTTTAACCTTTATAAGGCCCAGTTTCACAATTGGTGGTAACCTGAACTGGTTATCAAACTAAGAGCCAGTTTCACCTACAGCAATAACCCAAGGGTAACCACAACTAAGGCATTTGTATCTCTCACAACATATCTGTTGGTCAATTTTTAGAATATTTAACTCAAACCTTATTCCGCAAACTTGCAGTCAACCCTAAACTATTGATTCAATAACCACTGCCAGTTACTATTAATAATTGTAAAACTGGACCTTATAGGGGTTTGGAATAACTTGAAGTACCTACATGGCGATTTTGGAAATCATTGAAGATACAGAGTGGACCAAATGGAAAAAAAGTTGCACAATCAAGTGCCTATAAATAATCTGTCATAAACTTCTTTGAACTCATATTATTAATGGATATACCTACAGGACAAAAAAGAAAAAAAAAATGTTTTATTTTGTTATTCTGGACACTCTGTATAAGTTCAGCTTCACAAAAAACCAATTATCTTAACTGTCCTTTGTCCTTTTTTAATTATTCATTGCCCTCAAATCAATAGGTTAAAGATTCTATACAATAAATAAAAATCTTATCAAAATATCCCCTAAGGTACTTAATCTTCCAATTATTATTATTGATAAATTTTTTTTTTGAAACAAAAACAATTTTATTAGAATTTAGGAGAACGTCAGGTTCCCAGACTGATAACGGGATTAGGTAATTTCGAACCCAAAGAAATCGAAGACCGAGATGGCCCTGGAGAAAAGGGCGCAGCCCACCATCTGCAGCCCAGCCAACAAAACGACATTGATCAATCTGAGAGCGATTACGGCATGTGTGTGGCTTGTTCTGATGAAATTTCACTTGGTAAGAACAATCTGACAATTTTTTTTTCACAAGTTGATTTGATTTTTCACTGAATTTTTAATATGATGAGCTCCTAACTTTTTTTTTTTTTCTCCTGAAAGTTTCACACAATTTTTCCTTTAGTAGTTTTCTAGAAAGATATTAAAATATAAGAGGGTGCATTTTTGCTTCATTTAGGTTTTGCAAGTTGATTTTTATTAATTTCCCATTTTGTTATTTTTCACTGGAAAAAATTAAAATTTTAATGTAATGAGCCCCTTACTTCCCTCTTTTTCTCCTTAAAGTTTCATAATTTTCCCTTCAGTAGTTTTCCAGAAAAATATTAAAATGTGAGAGGCTGCATTTTTGCCTAATTAAGATTTTGCAAGTTGATTATCATTAATTTCCCATTCTGTTATTTTTCACTGCAGAATTTTGGAAATTTCAATATGATGAGCTCCTAACTTTCCTCTTCTTCTCCTAAAAGTGTCACAATTTTCTTTAAACTAGTTTTCCAGAAAAATATTGAAATGTAAAAGGGTGCATTTTCATTAATTTCCTATTCATTTAGATCGCAGTATTTTGGACACACGATTACCCGAATGCGCCCACTGGGATTATCCGACCGATTTGCCCACCACTAGCGTCATCATAGTTTTCCACAACGAAGGCTGGTCTGTATTGCTCCGTACAGTCCACAGCGTTCTAAACCGCACTCCCAAATATCTACTCAAAGAAGTTCTACTCGTCGATGATTTTTCTGACAAAGAAAACCTAAAGTATGACTTGGAAAAGTACATCGAGCAATTTGACGGAAAAGTACGACTAATACGTAACTCGCAAAGAGAGGGTCTGATAAGGACGAGAAGTAGAGGAGCTGTAGAAGCTAGAGGCGAAGTTATAGTGTATTTGGATGCTCACTGCGAAGTCAACACCAATTGGCTACCTCCATTATTGGCCCCAATCTACAGAGATCGCACTATAATGACTGTACCGATAATCGACGGTATCGATCATAAAACATTCGAATATCGGCCGGTATACGGCGAGGATCGACATTTTAGAGGCATTTTCGAATGGGGAATGCTTTACAAGGAAAACGAAGTGCCTGAGAGAGAGCTGAAGTCTAGAAAACACAATAGCGAGCCCTATAAAAGTCCCACACACGCGGGCGGATTATTCGCTATTGATAGGAAATATTTCTTGGAAATTGGCTCCTATGATCCTGGTTTGCTAGTTTGGGGTGGAGAGAATTTCGAGTTGAGTTTTAAAATATGGCAGTGCGGAGGCAAAATCGAATGGGTAAGTCTCAGTTTAATCAAACTTTGAAATGTTATAATAGTAAATATTATCACGCATTAGGTCCCTTGCAGTCGCGTTGGTCACGTATACCGCAGTTTCATGCCCTATAATTTTGGAAAATTGGCTCAGAAGAAAAAAGGCTCTTTGATCACCATCAACTACAAACGTGTAATCGAAACGTGGTTTGACGAGAAACACAAGGAATTTTTCTATACTAGAGAACCAATGGCTAGGTTCTTAGATATGGGTGACATCAGCGAACAGCTGGCCTTAAAAGATAGATTAGGTTGCAAAAATTTCCAGTGGTACATGGACAATGTAGCTTATGACGTATTAGAAAAATATCCCGAATTACCTCCAAATGTTCATTTTGGTGAATTACGGTACTAAAAATTTAATTTTTAAGAATCAATAATAATGCATGTTTTATTTTCAGTTCTGTAGCAGTTACTAAATGTTTAGACACATTAGGTCATGGTCCGCCTTCTTTGATGGCAGTCCAACACTGTCACGGTTTCGGCAACAATCAACTCATCAGGCTAAACGCCAAAGGTCAACTGGGAGTTGGGGAACGATGTATCGAAGCCGACGCCCAAGGTATCAAGTTAGCCTTTTGCCGTTTGGGTACGGTTGACGGGCCTTGGCTTTATGATGAATCGTCTCATACTTTAATGCATCGGGTGCATAAAAAATGTATGGCTTTGCACCCGCAAACGTCGCATTTGTCGTTGATGCCTTGCGATGTTAATAACGCCTACCAGCAATGGGTTTTTAAGCCATTGACGCCTAAATGGTAGGAAGTGGACTTTTGTAAATATTGCAGCTGATAAGTGTAAATAATAATTTATTGGTGGAGGACTTAGTTTTTTTTTTTTTTTAATTATGCAATTAAACAATCATTATTTTTAACGCTGTGTCTAGCCTCCCGGCACCGGTATTCATACGAATCCCGGTTGTGACGCGTTTTAAATGACGTCATGAACAACCACCGGTAACTGTCGTGGATCCCGGCTATTGCTATACAAGATGTTAATAATTATTATGTTCATTGGTATTGGGGCAGATTTATTATGAAGAGTAAAAAAAGTAAACAAAGTCGGGCGCGATAGGCTTTTATTAATGGAAAATAAAATTATGACTTTTATTATATGTACAGTAGGGTCTTTCCCCATATATTGACCCCCACACTACACGGGTTATGTGAAGAGATATCAAAAAATTGTAAATACCAGGTGTCCCACTAAATCGGCCAAGAGAAATTGATGGAAATTATTTTTAAGTTTCTAGGATGACCACTAGGGGGCGCAATTACGATGATATAGCTGAAAATTCAACTTTTCTCAAGAAATCGCTGTATTAAGATACTGTTTTAACAACAGAAATCAAAAGTTCATTAATTTTTGCGCCAGTTTGGTTATTAGGCTTTTTTTCGTATCTTCAGTAATAAGGGTGGGGGAAGCTGGTGAATTTTTTTTTTTCAGAAATTGCTGTATCTTCCATACCCCTCATTCAAACTCATTCAATTTGGGTTTATTTGGAAGAGAATTTCATTGTTATTAAGAACACCACTTCGTTCGAGGTCGATAGTTCCCACCGCGTTTTCTAGAGAGCGCTGTTTATTCAAGATCCAGTTTTTTCTAATTTTCATGAAAAATCCAAATGGCATAATATTTTTGTATTGTTATGCTTAAAGAGCAAAAAAATATCTACATTTTGGCGCAAACCGCAATTCAAAATCTGCATTCGTTTTCAAGTTACGTAAGGTCTATGGTCTCCATAATATCGTACCTGGCCGACCTTAGTGGGACACCCTGTACAAAAGTTTTGGGGTTTTCCCTGAAATTTTTGAATCCGATGTAGAAAACTTTTTTGTTTTTTAGAAATGTCAAATTTTAACAGATGGTCAGTTTTTTTCTCATGAAACACCCCATATATGACTTCATAGTTGAAAAGAGTCAAATTTTCTAATTTTCAAATATACAGCGCGCGGTTATCCATATCTTCTATACTAACAGAGATGAGAGAAAAAACTAAAATACAAAACCTGTAGATAAACATGAGTACTTTATTTTTTTACACAGGGTACCCCAAAACTAGAGGTTAATATTTTAACTGCGGATTCTAAATCTCAAATTAAGAGCAAAAGTTCCCATTAATATGAGTCCAAGAGTACCCTATTTCAGGCTATTGAAAAAGCTATTGTCCTGAATAATGAATGAAAATAAACCATACTATTCCCTTTTTAAACCACTACTATGAAAAGTGGATTAACGAAGTACTTACCACTTTAATACCAATATCACAACAAGAAACAATTATACACAAAAGCTATTCCGGAATTAATCACAGCCTCAAGCAGCAAGAGAAACACGACTTTGAATTTTGAATCCAATAGCCGGGATCTACGATAAATCCCGGCGGTCGTTGATAGCGTCATTGAAAACGCGTCATAACCGTCATTCGTATGAATACTGGTGCCGGGAAGCTAGACACAGCGTATTTTTAATGGTGAATAAAAGACTTTTTTCTGTGCCTTTTTTTCTATACAATTTGGGCACTAGATCAATGAAAATTTCCTCCCAGTGTTATCTGTTTCAATCATATCACTATTAATTTTTACAAAATGTACGTACTTAACTTAATTGTTTTTTATTGTTAAATAAATTTATTATAAATAAATGTTTTTTTTTTTAATTGATTTTGTTTTATAAGGGTTTCATCTGGGTATTCATCGACATCGAATTCAAAAAAATCAGCCACTCGTTAATAGAAAAAATATTCTGGAAACTGCTATGGATAAATATTAAATACTTATGTTTTTCACAGACAAAAAAGTTTGTAATTTGAGTTTCAATATTGACGTTGATTTGCGGTTTGTTCCAGTAAATAAAAAAATAAAAAATTTGGACGTTCCTAGATGTCCACAAACAACATTCAAGACGTCTTGAACGTCTGCGTCTTCAAAGCATCTTGAAGAAATCGTTTATTATTAAGTCTAAATCTGTTTATACCCAAGTCCAAATAAGCTGGAAAAAGGCACTCGGAAAAATTAATAATCACCCCAAATTGCTTAACACGATTTTATCTCAGGAACTATACATGCAAATGAGCTGAAATTTTCAGGGATTGAAGTCCTCTACTGAAATAAGAATCGCTGAAAATTTCAGCTTTCTATCTATAATGGAAAAAAAATTATGACCTTTCAAAGTTTTCCAAAATCTAAACCATAAGTTAGGTACCTTCTTACTAAAACGATGAAATTTCAAATTTTTTTTGGTCGAGATTTTGTAACCTAATGGTCAATCAACATACCCCAAACTCCATACACTGAATTATTTGCAGGTTTGAAGCCGAAATCTACACTGAGAAAAGTCCCGGGAGAAAATTCTTTGCTGGTTTTTTTTAGCTGTTACAGTGGAAAATGTTTTAGAGTTAGCAATGTTATTTTGCTTTTACAGAAAAGACCACTTTGCTGAAACTACTTTATTGAAACTGCAAAGATATTTCTTTTTCCAAAACCAAACTTTGCTGTTATAGCAAAATTAAAATTTTATGAAAATATTTCTGCTTCTCCGAAATAGAACTTTTCTAAGATAGATAGATACTTTACTGTTGCAACAAAAAAAAATTCCTGTAATTTTTGTTATTGTTACAGTAATGTTTTTTGCTACCCTAGCCAAATAACTTAACTAAAAATACCGTTCGGACATTTCCGTGATTTCTTCGGGTCCAAAAATAACCGATAAAATATGTTTCGTGTTCATTTTCTTCCATTTTAGTTTAGTAGCTAACGTCGTACGGTGTGGATCGTGGATGCTGTCGGAGTCAAGTCGAGTGTTGGTCGCTGTGAATCTTTTTGGAAATGGTGCCAGCGTATGCATCAAGACTAGCAGAAACAACTCTAGCGCCAAACTGTTCATTAATTGACATTATTTCAGATCAGGTAATGAAAGTTTAGGGGTTTAAATAGAGTTTGTTTATCTCCTGGTTTTGTTATGATGGACGCGCTACTACATATTTCCAAAGATTTGCAGCAAAATATTTTTGCTATTGGTGAGACAAATAACTTCCCATGGCTAATAAAACACTTGGCTGATTCTGGCAAGACATTTTTTGTTCTGAGACAAACGCTTTCCCATTTCAGGAAGCATTTCTAATAACAACAACAAATATCTTTTCTGTCTTAACAATCTACTTTTCAATAGCAAAAAAGGATGTTTTTGAGGGTATATAACCTCCACCGGCGTATCCAGCCCATGCATCTGGGGGGGGGTAATCAGCTCAGGCCAACCCGCCGCAGGCGCAGCCGAAGACGAAATTTTTTTTACCGGATGCCACGCCCAAACCACTTATTTTGAGCCTTCAAAACAATTTTTGCTGTACTACCAACAAATAACGAAACCGAACTCTGGGATTTCCCGAAAACTTTTAAATTATAGCGAATTCTATAGGTAGAACCAGTACAAAAGATGTATTTTTATCTCTTTCTTATGCAAGCCAGTAGAAAAATACACGAATACACTCAGTGCGCACTATACCTTTCAATAGAATTCGCTATAAATGGTATGCGGGCAGTGCGGACACTGTACAGGGTTATTGGTTATAAATGTCACCCCCCTCTATCTTTTTTATTTGACATTTTAGAAAAAAGTGTTTCAAATAAAAAATGTATGATTATAATTAAGTTTCTTGAAAAACTCATTTTTGCATATACAGGGTGTTTCAAAAAAGCTGGTCGTGCTCCAACTTTCTTATTTTAAACTGAATGCCCTGTATATTATTCAATATTCGGATTCTACGTGAAATTCTAAGACGATTTCATGTAATATACCCTATACCTAAGTTCAACTGTTTTGGAAATATTCTCAGTTGAAAATTGAATTTTTTGCAAATTTGACAGGCTGTAAAACCTAAACGGTTAACTTTTGAGCAAAACCGATCTTAAATTTTTTTCTAAGATTTTCACAAGTTATCATTTGATACCTACTTTGAATTTAACCGAAGATTAAATTTAATTGGAATTTTCAATCAGGGATTAAATTCAAAGTTGATGTCAAATATTGGTGTCAACTGATAGTCTATAAAAATCTAAGATAAAAATGTAAGATCGGTTTTGCTCTAAAATTAACCTTTTAGGATTTACAGCCTGTCAAAGTTGCATAAAAGTCAATTTTCAACTGTCAATATTTCCAAAACAGTTGAACTTAGGTATAGGGTATATCACATGACATCTGCTCAGAATTTTACGTAGAATCCGAATATCCAATAATATGAAACACCCTGTATATGCGAAAGTGAGTGTTTCAAAAAATTTAATTTCAATCATAAAACTTTTATTTGAGACACTTTTTTCTAAAATGTCAAATAAAAAAGATAGAGGGGGGTGACATTTATAACCAATAACCCTGTACAAACCAGAAAACAAGTCTGAAGAGAAACAAGAATGTGATCCAGCGTCAGCCTTTAGATTGCAGTCACGTCCCAGCAGTACTTGGCAACGTGGCATAACTCTGACTGTTCTATAATAGTTTTTTCATCATATTGTACTGTTATCTTACTATGGGCCGGATTCTAAATAGCGAGTCACCTCTGGGCTGGGTTGGCTTTAACTCCAGGGACCCAATTCTTGAAAAATATTGCATACGAAATTTGATATGATTTTGAGCGCTTTCCATTTAATCTATATTCCTATTAGTCAAATTCGAATCAAATCTCGATGTGTCCAGTTGCAATGTTTACCTTGGAGTTATGGTTAACCCGGAGGTGACTTGCTATTGAGAAACCGGCCCTATAGCATGAACCAAATTGAAATCGAAAAGGTGTTAAAATATAATTAACGGCCGCTTGCCGTGATTTTCAAACATACCCCTAGATAGGAAGAGTGTATAACATATAAAAGTATGAAAAATAGATTTATTTGAAAGGTGTAGGGTACAGATATTTCGTTCATCGCCAGGGATGTTCCAACGTGCACAATTGTGCATATTATGCAGTCTAGGGATAACAAACTATCGATAGGAATATCGATACTATCGATAGTTTTTTAATTATCGATAGACCTGTACCAATATCGATAGTTCCAATGTAGCCGAAGGTAAATGAAAACATCTGTATATTGAGAGAATTATAAAGAAATCTGTAGTTTTTTTGAGAAATCTGTAATTATTTTTGGGGATAAACATGCTGTGCTATCAATTTTTCGGTTAGGAGGAGTGACTTTGATGGACTTGATGGAGGTTAATGTTTATCGTGATTAATTACAAATTTGGTTACTTTGGTCTGAGTAAACTATCGATAGTTACTATCGATGTATCGATATCACTATCGATAGTTTTTTTTTCGATAGTTTATCAACCGTATTATACACAATCTGATCTCAATATGCACCATATGCACAATCTTCATAAAATATGCACAATTTTCACAATCCAGTCAAAACAAAGTTATTTTTCTTCAGCAATCCTTTGGCAACCTCGCCTTGCGCCTTGGTTGTGGTTACTGACATCTGTTATTTTGAAAGCTAAGCTCTAGACTTGTAATTGACAAAAAAGAAGAATGAAGACTGGAAGACGGAAACCCAACCTACAACCTTCCTAACAAGTAACAACTCGGTACACACCACTACTACAGGGTAGCCTTTCCTCATATAAGGCCTGTGTGGATCAGATGTCATGCCCCCCTCCCACCTCCCTCCAAAGAGCCAGTGTTGACGTAGACAGTGTGTCGTGTCTCACCTTGACGTAGGGTGTTTGTACCACAGGCTATGATTCTGCTGGCTTTTGCTTTATGCATACTTAATTTTAGTGCATTAATTATCATTCTAATGGCCGCTTGCATCGACCATTCTGAGAGAGGTTTAGCGACAATCAACGCTTAAAGTGATATGTTAAATGAAAAAATGTTACTTTAGGCGTTGATTACCGGTAAACCTCCCTAAGATGGTCAGTGCAGACGGCCATTAAACAATGCTTTCTCAGATCTCGATCGCATCTTCCTCTTTGCTTTGCCTATTATATTAATCAAAATGAAATAATATTTTTCATCATAAATATATATTCTAAACTACGACTGCTAGCGCAAACAGCTGATGACGTAGTTGGCCGCGATTCCCAAAAACGAGACCGATAAGCAATCCTGTGGAATAGTGTGTATTATCCTTGGTAACAACTGTCAATTTAGAGAAACAAAATGGCGGCGGGTGCGTGGCTCACTTCTATTTTCGATGTTCATAATATATCCTTATGAGCCTCATATTGCCGGCTTACTTCCATTGTCATCACTTGTTGGTAAAAAGGTTTATCGCGAGTCACTAATTTTGATTTTTTTTCGTCGCCATCTATAAAAGTCTCATAGGTATATAGATTTTTCGACGACTTGTAGGACTAGGACGTTCTACCCCTGCTTTTTATAAAACCCAAGAGATGGCGCTATTAATTACGTCATTCACGTCACATATAAGAATGTGCACAATCTCAAACGAATATGCACAATTTATTATTGGTTGGATACACACTTGAAAATTTTCCTGGAACAACCCTGTTCTTCGCGACGATCTGGGGGGGGGGGGGTCGAAGATATTACCGCAGAACAGGGCCGTAGCTAGAATCAAATTTGTGGTAGGGCATGCAAAAATTTGACATAGGGCATGCACTACTTCCCTCCGCCCCTTAAATTTTTTATAGGTAAACAGAATGGGGGTAATGGCGCCGAAGGCAAATTTTTCAATAAACAACATCAAATAACATTTCTGGCGAATAAACAAAATGGCGCGTTCAGGCAATAAATTTTGAGGGACCTCTTGTACTTGTACTACTTGTAAAATAACTGTATGCCTACCAACTCATTCGATTTCAGGTCCATTCATTAGCTGTGGTCCAATGGACATAGGAACCGTTCCAGAACTAGCAATTTCCAATTGCCCACCTAATTTTCAATAAGTTGAACGTTTATCCTCCTTGGCAAATGAATTGATCGACTGAAAATTACCGTTCGAGAACGGTTCACATGTCGGTTGAAAACAGTGCTTTCATCTTCTCTTAAATTTTTTAGATAAACCTCAACGTATGTTGTGTTTTAAAGGTAGGGCATCATCATTTGAAAGATAGGGCATTGCCCCCCAATGCCCCCCCCTGGCTACGGCCCTGCCGCAGAAGCAAAATAATCACTACAAAACTACAAAATAGAAAATGAATTTTTCTTAGAACGTAAATTGTTATTCACCTGGATCCGTTCCTGAACTAAAAAAAAAAAAAAAAATTTACAAATTCCACACACAATGAACAATTGTTAACACTTTTGACCCAATAAAACGAAAAAAGTTAATTCCCATGGACGACCCGATTATACAATTTAGACAATTTTGTGCTCAGCCAACTACTTATTGTGTTTGTGAGTGAATAAACAATTCGGGTAAATAATAATTATTTTACTATTTTCATTGTTATTACAGCAAAATGCGAGAAGAAATATTTTCCATCATCGTTCTATTCATCATCATTGGTACGCCGTTTTGTGGCGCCCAAGAGTGCGAATTCAAAGAAAAAACTTATATATGTGAAAATATCAACTACGAGTTTCCCAACTTTTTTTACGGAAACTACCCGCTCAGATGCCAGGATTGCCAAATTCAAGTGTTCGACCACAAGAGTTTTCCTTGGGAGAATAATTTGAACAGCTTCAATTTGAGTTTTACCGGTTTGGAATTTATTGGGCAAAATAGTTTTGTTGGTTTTAAGAATTTGCAATATTTGTTGTTGCAAAATAATTTGATTAAAAATATTTCCAAAGAGGCTTTTAAAGGTTTGAATCAGTTGTATGAATTGAATTTACAAGAAAATAAAATCAGAATTATTGAGGCAGGATTTTTGAAAGGTTTGTCTAGTAATTTGGTGAATATTTCTGGAAATTTTTTGGAAATTTTACCTGAAAAAGCTTTTTTTGGCTCGCAAGCTTTATTAATTTTAGATTTAAGTAAAAATAAATTAAAACAACTAAATAAAGATTCATTTTTTAACTTAGAAGAATTAGAACACTTAGATTTGAGCTCCAATCAATTATGTTTTATGCCTCTAGGATTGTTTAAACATTTAAGAGGTTTGAAACAATTAAATTTAAGCCAAAATAAGTTTAAAAAATTCAACTTTGGTACTTTTACAGGCCTTAAAAATTTAATTTATTTAAATTTAAATAAAAACTTATTAACTTTGTTTGATTCTAGCTATTTGCTACCTCTAATGCACTTGAATAAATTAGATTTAAGCAGCAACGCCATTTATAATTTAGACGCAAATGATTTAATGTTAAATTTACCAACTTTAAGGGCTATTGTTTTGGAAGATAACGTATTTTCTTGTACTCTATTGAAAAATATTTTACAATTTTTCAAATCAAAATACGTAGAAGTAGTAAATGATAATCCAAGATATGAATTTTTTAATATTAATGGTATTGCTTGTATTGATGGCGTCATATTGAACAGCATTTCCTTGGATTATTTCCTGAAAAAATCCCAAGAAGATGCTCAATTGTTACACACTTATTGTCAATAAATAAATGTTTTTTGATTATTTGCAGTTTTATTAAAACACTCGCCTACAAAGTCCATTAATTAGTAAAGTACCGCTGGGACAATTTAAATTGTGAACAATTTTGTTTATGTTCGGTCCTCCAAGGACGCCGTATTGGATAACTTTTCGTTTCGGTTTTTGCTTCAGGAAATCTTCGTAAGGCATTTTGGCTAAGGTGCAAACAAAGACGTTTGTTAGCAACAAATAAACGATAAGCAACATTTTTAAGCTGAAAATCGGTTAAATAATAGAAAAATTATTAATGAAAATATTAATATTGCCTACCTCAATATGTGGAAATGCTTTAGGCTAAAAACAAAATAAAATCTGAAATTTTTGTTATCAAAAATAAATATGTATATTTGTTAACCTTTTTGACCCTTTTATGAATATCAGTTTTCTATGAGTAATGCAAGACGTTTTATTAGAAATTTTACAGATGGCGAAGGTATAATATTCATTAAACAATTGAATTATTATTTAAGTATTCAACAGTTCAATAACAAAATACTTCAAAGATAACCATTGATATAATACACCTAAATTTAGAAATAAATGTAACTGTAAAAAGGTAAAACAATGTATTAGTAAGTAGGTGGGTACGCTAACCATCATCATGAAGAAATCAGGTATGTATACAAAAATATATTTTTCTAATTTTCAATTTACTTTGTATTTTTCAGCCATAATAATTTTATTATTATTTTGTGGCACTTTTGCGGTAGAAATTTTAAAGGACACCACTGGTAAAGTGTCCCTCCAATATAACATTGCAGATAGCCATATTGATGTGGAATTGATTAGAGGTAATTATATTAAATATTAAATTTTTCCATATTACCATATTGTTCAAGATATATGAATTTGAATATTTGAATTTCCCGCCATGGCTATGATTTGTAGTAGGCTGTATTTGTTGCTTGACAAATGACATTAATGACATATGTTTTATCTTTTTTGTCTTAACCACGTCAGCCTCCTTCCCAAGAGTTATGTAGGAGAAAATGTACAGGGTCTGTTCCTCATAATTAGTGCGGCTCCTACAACTTAAACAAAAAAAAATACAGAAAAAAGTTTAATACAAAAGTTGTGGGTTTTTATCTCTATTATATTTCGCATATGTTAAAATGGGCAAATGACAGGTGCCAACTGTCATGATGACAGCACTTGCATTTTTTTAAATAGAACACTGTATATTTTAGGCTAGAATGATAGATTTTTTTCTTCTGCTTTCAAATATACCATATATGTTGATATTTGGTTCAGCTGTTTTTGCGCTATTTCATTTTAAAAGTGCATTAAGCAAGCCTTACCATTGATATTAGAAACCGGGAACAGTCCTAATTTAGGGTAATGTAAAATGTAAATGCATTTTTAAACTTGAATAGTGTAAAAACAGCTGAATCAAATATCAACATATATGATATATTTGAAATCAGAAAAAAAAAAAAAACTATCATCCTAGCTAAAAATATACAGGGTGTTCCATTTAAAAAAATGCAAGTGCTGTCATTATGACAGTTGGCACCTGTCAGTTGCCCATTTTGACATGTACGAAAGATGATAGAGATAAAACCCTACAACTTTTGTATTTAACTTTTTTTTGTATCTTCTTTTATTTAAGTTGTAGGAGCCGCACTAATTATAGGGAACAAACCCTGTACCTATTTGAATTATAATTATTACATAATTTCAACTTTTTATTATTCCCGGCTCTTGATTGAACTAAATTGGATTGACGATTAATAGCCCTTTGCACCCAAGGATGATACGCTCTAACTATTACTACAGGATGGCCCATCCTCATAAGGCCTGTGTGTAACAAATCCCCCAATTTACCAGTTGTGACGTAGGCAACATGTTATTTCTCGCCTTAAAGTAGGCTGTTTAAACACGACTTAGTTATGACGACGGAAATGGTAGCACACCAATATGGCGGCGATTACCAAAATCGAAGCCGATAAGCAATCCTGTAACTGTGTATTCTCCTTGGTTTGCACCTACCATTTTAAGGGAGGTATAGGGCCGATTTCTCAATAGCGAGTCACCTCCGGGTTGGTTTTAACTCCAGGGTTAACGTGTCAAATTGCAATGTGGAGCAATGAACTAAACAAAAACACTGGAACGCTGCCTGCATAATGTTTCTAACGCAAGGCTTTGTGCCAGGAAGGACAACAAACAAGTGGGATTTGCATCTCTCTCTGCACTATGGCGGCTATTGAGAACAGCTATTTGAAATGTTTAGATTATTGAGGTTAGGAAGATGAAGAAGCTTTTCTTTTTTTTACGTTAATCGTAATGAGTGCGAGCGAGATAACGATCCCTCTGTATTGCTAGGTTGCATATATCAAAATTCGGCACACTAGCATAAATCAGTGCGCGCGTTCCGGAGTGTTTGTTTAGTTCAATGTGACCTCTGCTATTGAGAAACCGGCCCTTAACGATAATCAATGCTTAGGACCGGTTTTTCAATAACGAGTTACCCACGGGTTATTCATAACTCCAAGGGTAAACATAGCAACTGGATACGCTTACTCTGGAGTTAAAAACCAACCTGGAGGTGACTCATTATTAAGAAACTGGCCCTCATAAAGTGTTTTACATGTAAAACTGTCACTTTACTTTAAGCGTCGATTATCATGGCGATTTCCATTTGTCAGTCAGTTAGGGTTGCCAACCCTCCCGATACTCCCGCTTTTTCAACATGCGTCCCGCCATGAAACATCGCAGCAAAAACTCCCGCTTTCTAAAAAAACTCCCGCCAACTCCCGCTTTTCAACAATTACACATTTGAGTAAAAAAAAAATAATAATTCAACGGGCATTTGTATCTTTTATTTAGGGTTTTTAGTTGTTCTTGGGTTTGGATATAAAAAAGCGCCTTAACTAATTGGACATCTTACACTGACAAAATTGACAAGTATTTTTGGAAACACGTACCAAAGTTTAATAAGTTGTCTGGGGTAAGTTAACTTGATGACGTCGTGTTAGGTGCCTTATGGAGATTTACATTATATTGAGGAGGTTTAGGCCATTGGAAGAAGCACCCCAGATGACGTCATACATAAAAATTATCAGGCAACCTAATCTTGCCATCTACCATCGTCCATCGATTACGCATGCCTTTCCATTTAAACCTATTCTTCTTGTAATTTTTTCGGAAAAATTGGACAAAATGAGTTGACAAGTAAATTGTTTAACAAAAAGTACATTTGACTGACCTGACAGGGTATTTTGATGACTGTTCCGTAAGGATTTGGACGTGGCACCCAAAAATTTAAACCTCCTGCTTTTCCATTTCAAAAACTTGGCAACCCTACAGTCAGTGCGCACTGAGTGTATCCGCATCTTTTTCTAAAAGTATGTAACATGTGAGGATAAGGATACATTTTTTTTTGCACTGGTTCGACAAATGGAAATCGCTATCAGTTAACCTCCATCAAATTAGTCGATGCAAACCAAGGATAATACACACTACTTCCACAGGATACCCTATCCTCATAAGGCTTGTGTGGAACAAATCTGAAGCCCCCCACCACGGTAAATCATCAGTTGTGACGTAGGCAGCATGTAAGGATAATACACACTACTACTACAGGATAGCCAATCCTCATGAGGCTTGTGTGAAACAAATATGAAGCCCCCCATCACGCCAAATCACCAGTTGTAATGTAGGCAAGATGTCGTTTCTCGCGTTGACGTATAGTCTGTCGATTTTACTCTGATACCCCAAAGGAATGTGAGCTGGTGTCTTCCTACATTAGAACGCCAATGGTTACCTGACGTCACACCTGTTTTTACCATATGAAACACCCTCTCACTTCTCATACGGAAAGTGTCAGATTAAAAACGACGGACCTTAAGGCTGTTTGCACTACAAATTATGATTCCGCGGGCTTTTGCTTTATGCATACTTGGCTTTAGTATATTATTTAACATTTAAAACAACTGTGTCATAGATCTCGTTTTCATCTTCCTCTCTACTTATTATATTAATCAAAATTAAATAATAATTTTCTTCATAAATTTAAATTCTAAACGACGACCGCTAGTGCAAACAGCTGACAACTTAGTTATGAGGTCGGAAATGGTGATACACCAACCAATATAGCGGCGATTACCAAAAACGAGGCCGATAAGCAATCTTTGGTAGTGTGTATTATCCTTGGGTGCAAACAGCCATAATTGAATTGTTTTTGAGACGTAAAACCATTGGTCGTTTCCACCAACTATTTTAGGGCAGCCTTAACGATAAGTATTCCTAAAACTGACAGTGTTCCATGGAGGAATGTCAGTTTAGGGAATACCTACTTATTTGAATATAAAACTACAGGAAGGAACGTTTTCTATCTGTCACTACAGACAACGCAGAGACGGAAACGGCCATTTTGAGCCTCCAAGTATGGACTCATCATTTGTTTTGGTGGTTCGCTGTGTCCTCATCAAGTGGATGTTTAATGGATTTTAGCAGTTTGAAGTGATAATAAGTACTGGAATTAGTGAGAAAAGAGTGAGTCATAATATTGACAATCATATTTAAATAAATATACGCCACTGCCAAACCGGAAATACTAGTCGGCCATATGCAACCTCCACATATTTTGGTCGCGCAGATTCGAAGTTATGCTCCTTCCTGTAGTTTTATATTCAAAAGTGGAAACGGCCATAAGACTCTTAGTTTTTTGTCATATAACGCAGTAGGCTTTGTAAATTTCTTTTTTTTTTTTGTTTGTGTGGCTAATCTAGTTGGCCATCAAGGATAATACACACTACTAAAGATTGCTTATCGGCCTCGTTTTTGGTAATCGCAGTCATATAATGTAGCACCATTGCTAACGTCATTGACTAAGTCTTCAATTGTTTGCGTCAGCGGTTGTAATTTAGATTTAGAACTTAATTTAGAATATTATACATTTATGATGAAAAATATCATTCAATTTTAATTAACGTAATAGGCAAAGAAGAAAATGCAAAGCAAAAATCCGCGAAATCATAACCTGTAGTGCAAACAACCTACGTCAAGGCGAGAAACGACACGCTGCCTACGTCATCACTGGCTCTTTGGCGTAACAGGGGGATTGAGATTTGATCTACACAAGCCTTATGAGGATAAACTATCCTATAGTAGTATATTCATGTCTTTTTTTATTCCACAAAGACAGAAAGAGACAAAAATAATAATTGGCTAATCTAGTAGGCCATGGTTATTTTGGATCGTTCTTGACTAGAAGAATTGGATTGTTTTTGAGACATGAAACTTAATCAAGAGCCAGCAATAAACAAAATTTGAATTACAAATAATTACCTATATAAATTCAATTTTGAGCTGCCGATATTTTTGAAAAATCTTCCTGTGATTCCCTGTATTGTTTTCCATGGACATTACACAATATTGAATTATTTCAGGCGAAAAAACCCACTTGACAGGTCGTATAGGCAAAAACAAAAATGTCCAGCAAACCTCTTGCATTGGAAAATCTTTGTGCCAAATCAACCCCACCGACCAACTACAAATTCAGCCAATCGAAAACGGTTTCAACATCACGTGGTCCACCAACAGTACCGACAACAGTTTCATCGATTGTCATTATTTGAATGCGACCAGTACCAATTGGTTTGGCGGCCCGCAGCGGTACTACCAAGCCTGGCCCGTTGAAAAACTGGTCATCACAGCATCTCAACCGTATGTCGTACGTAGAGACGACAATTTCGGCGTGGCCGAACGGTACTGGCTCAACTCACACGGTACTTATATTTTCCTAGACGACCGAGTACCGTTATGGGTCGACCAAAACAACCAACACCCAGACCAAGTATGTTTCATAGCTGAAGCCAAAAGCCCCTACATAAATCGTCAGAGAGTGGTACTGTCGTATGTTGTAGTGGCACTGGACGATGCTAAAACAGCTCATTTGGATGCTGTTAATAATCACTTGGGCAAACCTTCCGCGTACCCTAACGAAAAAATGATTGGGGAACCCATTTGGACCACTTGGGCGAAATATAAAAAACCCATCAACGATAAGACTGTTTTGGAATTTGCCGGTACCATTCGCGAGCAAGGATATCAAGGCGGACAATTGGAAATTGATGATAATTGGGAGGTACTTATATGCTTTTTAGAACCAATCACAAAAAGTACTTTTAATTTAATGAAAATTATTGCAGACTTGTTACGGTTCACAACAATTCGACCCAAAAAAATTCTCAAACATCACAAGCACGGTCCAACAACTGCACGAGGATAATTGGCGCGTCTCTTTATGGATTCATCCTTTCGTCGACGACGATTGTCAAAACAACTCTGCGATTGGTCAACAGTCAGGGTACTTTGTACGCAACACGACCAATCAAACGCTAGCGACTTGGTGGAATAGCGACGACGCACATCAGATTGACTTTACTCAAAGCGCAGCCGCTAAATGGTGGTCGGATCGGCTCACAACTATTCAAAACAAGGCTGGCATTGACAGTTTTAAATTCGACGCTGGCGAAACCGACTATATGAATCAGCCTCCTGTTTACGATGACGTAGAATACAGTCCGAATATTTTAAATCAGAAATATATCGATACTTGTAATCAGTTTGGTGATCTTATTGAGTTTAGATCATCTTTTAGGTATTAGAATTTATCAAGCTTCTCTTTTGATTTTAAATTTTTGGTTTTTAGGGGTCAAAAATATGGAAGGTTTATAAGAATGCTCGACAAAGATTCGGTGTGGGATTTAAACAACGGTCTGGCAACATTGATAACCACTTTACTGCAACTGAACATGAATGGGTACGCAATGGTACTACCAGACATGATCGGCGGCAACGGTTACAGGCAACAACCAACTCCAGAATTAATCGTCCGATGGATGCAAGCGAATACTTTTATGCCATCCATGCAATTCAGTTATCTACCATGGGACTACAAAGACGAAGTTTCATATGAGATCGAAGACATCACCAGGAAATTCATCGACTTACACACCGAGTACGCGCCGAAAATCGTCGAGGCCATGAAAAAGAACGTTTTGGACGGGTCGCCGGTTAATCCGCCGGTTTGGTGGTCGGACCCCAGTGACGTCACTGCGTTAGCTATTGCCGACGAGTACCTGCTCGGCGATGACGTTTTGGTCGCTCCGGTGATCGTGCAAGGGGCGACATCTAGGGACGTGTACTTGCCCAAAGGGGAGTGGAAGGACGGCAACAATGGAGCCGTTTATTCCGGGCCTACTACTTTGATTAACTATTATGCGCCTATAGATGTTTTACCTTATTTTGTTAGACAATAAATTATTTTATTTTATTATATTTTTTTTTTTTAATTTTCATGAAATCTGAATTACATTTGATGGTTTCTGACAGTGGCGTAACTTCAAATCCGGGCCCCCCCCGCAAGGATTTTTCCGGGGCCCATCTTTTATGTATATATATTTTTTAAATTTTTCTTTATACAGGGTGTCCGTTTTAAGTGAACCACTATTGCTATCTCTGACACGGTAAGAGGGACAAGGTCGGTTAAATTAGATAAAAGTGGCAAATTTTAGTATTCATTGAAGGTACCTAAGTTCACAGGGTTGCCAAATCTTAGTACGTTTCCGAGATATAAAAGAAATGTAAAAAATATTTAAAACTTATTAAATGAATATTTCAAAATCTATCAACTTTAGAAAAAAGTGTTCAATGCAATAGTTCCAAGATTCTTTTTTCTCTACAAAATGGCGTTTGTTTCATTGGTTAGACCAGACATACTTTTTCAATGGTTGATATGAGGTTCATAGGTTAAAGTATTTTCTTTCAGTTTAGTACTACTCTTGTCACCAGTTAAGTACTTTCGCCTGGTCTAGGGCCCTGCGGGCCCTTAGTTACGCCACTGGTTTCTGAATAACATGTATTAGAGTTACTTTTGTTAAATCTGAATTATATTTGATGCTCTCTTTCCATTTGACTGTTCTGATTTCCATTTGATATTTTCTGAATAAACTATTGTTGGATACCTATGGTGTGATAGCTTGCACTTATCACTTGACAAATCCATTCACAATTCGACAACTAAACACTAGCACTACACAGCTGCACTTGCTACTAACTAATCAAAGTGTAAACCAGCCTTAAATCCAAGTTCAGTTGTATTACCGCCCTTGTTTTTGTGCTAAAATTTCAATTACACACACTACATTCAATCAACACTACCTATATTCAATACTGGAGAGTTTTTGGTTAGCTAGCCAGTTTCCTAGCAGGTACTGAGGTCCCATACGGGAAGCTACTCAGGTATAGTAGTTGTTTTTGAGCCAATATCTCTAGATTGGTTATTTCAATTTGCTAGGATATTCTCTCGTCTCACATTTTCCTAAAATGTTGGTAAATTCAACAAAACCCTAATGTACGCTCTAAATTCAAAAATCAAAATCCTAGCACAAAAAGACAGCAAATAATTTTTCTAGGTTTTAATTTACTCTACTCACTTGGACGCTACTTGGATTTAATCAACTGTAAATCCAATTCTAGTTAAATAGGTAGGTCCTAACCATTAGGCCTAACATCCAAATAAGTAGGTTGGTTGCCAACTGACTTACAGGTTGATTCTGTGCACATCTGTAAGCAAATACATAAATTTCTATAAGCCTGCAAAACTTATCGATTGCCAAACACTCTATCGAAAATATTAACGATTCCCATAGTATATTCTGTAATCTACAGGAAGTGTAGAAGTACAAATTGTCTTCAGGCAGCTATAGGCTTATAGAAATTTATAGAATTGCTTACAGATGTGCAAAGAATTGACTCATTAGTTAAGGTTCTTAACTTCTTATACAAGTGAACTCGGATCTGGCTTAAAACCAGGTTGAGATGTTTGAAGTTGTGACATTTGCACCTGAGAAAAACGTCCAATGAACGTTCTCATCAGTTACTCAACTGATGTTTTAAAAACATTTTGACATCTAATTGCATACGTTTTCTTAAAGTGTGTGCTATTTGGGTCATTCACCACATAATTTACATTAATCTAGAGTGTTTTGTTAATAGAATTTTAAAATAATCAATAAATTTTTGGAGTATAGATAGGTACTTGAACCTTGTTTGAAGTCATTACATAAAAACTTAAACAGACGATTAAAGTGTTTTACAATGGGTAAGTCAACATAAAAAAGGGCTACTTTAGACTCAATAAAAATTGTTTTTCTTCAGAAAAATCATTCTGGCTGGTCCTTTGGGCTACAATTCTATTGCAATGTCATGCTTTGGACGTCAAAGTTATATCTTCTGGAGTAGTAGATATGTACTTGAACTACACTAAAAATGGTATCGATATTGAGCTAGTTAGAGGTATATATTTCTATATACTTCTATATCATTTTTAACACCAACATTTTGTAGGTAACATCTCTAAACTCAAAGGCACCATAGGCGTAGGCATCGATTTCACTCGAAAGCAAAATTTTTCTGTAGTCATCATAGACGTAAATAATGGTTTTAAAGTGCAATGGTTTACTAATGACACCACAATGGAAATTTTCGATTGTTTCAACTTGGATAGAGGAAACTTAAACTGGTTCGGTGGTCCGGAAATCTATAGGCAAGAATGGCCAATAGAAAAATTAAGACTAAATCAAAATGACGCTTATGTAGTCAGAAAAGACTTGAACTTTGCCGTTCCGGAACGATACTGGCTCAATTCGAACGGAGCGTTTATTTTCGTAGAGGATCGAGTGCCACTTTTCATCGATCAGAACTTGCTTTTTGATGATAGAGTGTGTTTTATTGCAAAAAATCAAGGACCTTACATTAACAGAACTACAGTGCGTCATAGTTACTATTTAGTGGCTTTGGATGATGCTGTGCAAGCGCACAAAGTTGCTGTGGCTAATTTTTTGGGACAAGCACAATGTAAGACTTTTTGGACCAGGCTACTAGACACATAAGTTTTTTTCACGTGGCTCCGGTTTAACTAACCGGGTTACAAAACGGTTAGAGAAATGACATACCGTTTTCTAACTCGGTTACAAAGTGACGTGATGGATACCTACCACTCGAATTTGAGCGGTTTGTTAAACCGGAGCCACGTGAAAAGGGTTATAGGCTTCAATGAGACCAGTTGACAGATACCCATTCCACTGCAGATTCTTCTAAGCCAGCTACAAACTAATTCGTCTCATTACTCCTTATGTGTCTAGTAGGTTGGCCGGTCTACAATATATTTATAGATTCAATAGTCTCTTGATATAGTTAGTAGTAGGCAAACGCAACAGCCGAGAATATTCTCTTTGCTGCAGGTTTGAGTAACGCCATCTGTTGTTACAATGCAATGTCAAAATGTGATGGATAACTTTCTCTTCCAGCTCCTACACCTTGTAAGTGCAAAGCTTGCATGTAGTATGGAGTTACAATTTTTTGAAGTGAAAATTCTTAGGCGCCAGTCTATTTGGACGACAATGGAGAGTGATTTGAAAAACGCGTCACGGGCAAATTTTGTTATTCGAGAGAGAAGAAAGATATAACGTAAAGAGACAGACAAAGACAGCTATTAATGGCCATTTCCACTAACTAATTTAGGGAAGCCCTAACGATAGGTATGCCTTAAACTGACATTTCTCCATGTAAAAATGTCATTTTAGGGAATACTTATCGTTAGGGTTTCCCTAAAATGGTTGGTGGAAACGGCCATAAATGACGCAAACCAAGGATTATAAGCGCAAGGAGGATTGCCTATTATTGACAAGTGCCGATACCCTTGTAACGTCAATACAGATGCGCATCTCTCTTTTGTTATACTTTTATCATAATGTTTTGTGATTATTTTTGCTATTTATACATTTGTGTTTTTTCTTTGATTATATCCGTGAACCGTCAATGAACATTATGTAAGTATATCAGTGGCGTATTTACGGGGGGGGGGGGGCTCAGGGGACCCGACCCCCCCCAGAAATGTATTTTTAATTTTTACTTACTGAATAAGCACATTCATTAACAAACCCCAAACAACTCGGTCACCGTTTGAAAACCTAGAAGATTTATACACCGAAGTGTGTCGGACCCTCACTCATTGAATTATAGGGGAATAGGACTGAGATAGAGACACGGGGGATCAATACATTCGATCTGTCACATTGATGTCCTCACTTCCGTCGGAATTTTTCGTTTCGATTTTTCAATTCTCTACCCCCGCTCAAGGTTATTTGGGAGAGATACGTTGCCTGCAAGGATGATAGACACTTACAGGATTGCTTATCGGCCTCGTTTTTAGTAATCGTCGCTATATTGGTGTGTCACCATTTCCGACGTAATAACTAAGTCGTCAGCTATTTAAACAGTCTACGTCAAGGCGAGAAATAACATGCTGCTATGTCACAACTGGTGATTTTGCGAGGAGGGTATTTGTTCCACACCACACAGGCTTTATGAGGATAAGCTATCCTGTAGTAGTAATGTGTATCATCCTTGGGTTGCCTGGATAACTCGATGACGTCATCTGAGGTGCCTCAACGTCATGCAAATCTCCAGAAGGCGCCCCAGATACGTCATCAAGTTACCAGTTACCAGACTACCTATTAACTTCAGGAACCTTGATCTCAGCTAAAGAAAGATATTTAATTTGTTATAGTTAGTGACCTCAGTAGATATTCTGGCCGGTTTTTTTGAAAAAGGTTGGCTTTAGGTTAAAAATAAAAGGCGTTGAAGAAGTTAATGTGTATTTGCCGACGTGTCGGTCCAAATTAGGCCATCCTCAGGGCACTAAAAACAGAATATTCATGAGTCTAACATTATGGATTATTACATAGTGAACATTGAACAGTGTAATTGTAATGAGTAGTAAAACTGTGTACTAATACAATAACAATAGCATGATAAATTTAGAAATTAAAAATGAATTTTATATAAATTTACTCAGTTATTTTTATACTTTGCTCATTAGCGTCGGGTTACGTAATCCATGATGTTAGACTCATGAATATCCTGTTTTTAGTGCCCTGAGGATGGCCTAATTTAGGCCGAAACGTCGGCAAATACACATTATCTTCTTCAACGCCGTTTATTTTTGACCTAAATCCAACCTTTTTCAAAAAAAAAAACAACCAGAAAGATATTTAATTTTATTTGTATTTATTGTTACGTTGAAAATCGTAAATACGCCACTGATGTACCTATATTAAAATTATTAGAATATTAAGAAAAGTCAAGGTTGTTTGCAAGAGGTGGATTGTTTAATAACTTTATGTCGTCATCTAGGGTGCCTCAACATCAAGGTTCCTGAAGTTAATAGGTTTTCTGGTAATGGGTAACTTGATGACGCATCTGGGGTGCCTTATGGAAATTTGCATTATGTTGAAGCCCCCCAGATGACGTCATAAAGTTATTAGACAACCTATCTCTTTCAAACAACCTTGCCTCAACATAATACAAATTTCCATAAAGCACCCCAGATGCGTCATCAAGTTACCCATTGCCAGACAACCTAGTAACTTCAGGAACCTTGATTAAAAATAATATTAAAGATGGAGAAAAACAGCCATTGACTTCTACAAATCAAAGATTACAAGCGCAAACAGGATTGCCTATCATTGCTAAGCACCGATACCCTTGTGACATCACTACAGATGCGCGTCTGATATTTGGACGACAATGGAAAGTGATTTGATAGACGCGTCACGTTTTGGCAAATTTCGTTACACGAGAGAGAAGAAAAATATAAAATAGAGACACCAAGAAAAACAGCCAATGACAATGTCAGCCGACGAACGATTGACACAAATCAAGGATTATAAACTATTGGCGTTTTCGATTGGTAGATTCAGTGCGAACTGAGTGTATTTGCATCCTTTTAATCGACCCGTAGAAGAAAAAGAGAGGAATAGAAAAAATTGCACTAGTTCCGCACTAGATCTACCAATCGGAAACGCCATATTATTGTCAAGCGCCGATACCCTTGTGACGTCAGTACAGGTGCGCGTCTCCCTTTGTCTTTACCTCGACTCAAATGCCAAGTCTTCAAAGTTGTATGAGGGAGGCATAGTTTTTAAGAAGTTTCACTTCTACCACGTGTACGGCGCTGCACATGATTTTTTTAAAAAATTTATGACAAGGTTGTTTGAAAGAGATAGGTTACCTGATAACTTTATGACGTCATTTGGGGTGCCTCAACATAATACAAATCTCCATAAGGCACCCCAGATACGTCATCAAGTTACCCATTATCGATGTACTTACCTATTAACTTTAGGAACCTTGAATTTATGAGATGTTCACCCTTCTTTGCTGTGCTTGAAGATCTAGGAAACATATCAAGAGACAAATATTAAAACACATCAACATTTAATAAAAAAAATATATGTTAATTCCAGCCTTACCAAACATAAATATGATCAGAGACCCAATCTGGACAACATGGGCCAAATACAAAAAGTACATCAACGATTCAGTAGTCCGCGACTTTGCCTACGACATATTGGCTCACGGATTCCGGGGACAAATCGAAATCGACGAACAATGGGAGACTTGTTTCGGGTCGCGCGAGTTTCTCCCGAACGAATTCGGCAACATCACCGCCGTAGTCAGAGACCTACAAAACAAACAATTAAGGGTCACCCTTTGGGCGGCACCCTTCGTCAATCCCGAATGCGAGGATTTGATTTCGGAAGGAGAACAAAAAGGGTACTACGTGAAAAACACCCAAGGAGATATGACGACGGTTTGGTGGGAAAGTACTAACGCGCGCCAAATTGACTTTACCAATCCAGAAGCCAGAGAATGGTATTCGAAAAAATTACGTAAGCTACTAGAAAATCCAGGAGTGGATAGTTTTAAATTTGACGCGGGCGAAGTTGACTACGTTGCACAACCAGCCCTGTATCCGAACCAAGACCCCGAGCTGATTCCCAACATTTTCACGCAACGCTATATCGACACGGTAACGCAATTTGGAGATCTGATTGAGGCCAGATCGGCATTCAGAACTCAAAATTATACATATTTTCTGAGAATGATCGATAAGGACTCGGTGTGGGATATCGAAGATGGACTACAATCGCTTATTCCTACTTTATTGCAGCTCAACATGGTTGGCTACAACTTGTAAGTGGTTTGTTGATTGTTACAACTGTTAAAAAATCCTTTACAGTATCCTCCCAGATATGATTGGCGGCAACGGCTACAAAGCTCAACCAACCTTAGAACTGTTAGTCAGATGGACTCAGGCTACAGTTTTTATGCCTGTTTTACAGTTTAGCTATTTACCTTGGGACTTTGCTGACGATGACGTCATGAACGGTACCGCCATTATACGGTCAATGATAGAATTGCACGAAAAATATACTCCAAACATCGTGGAGGCCATGGAGAATTCTTTGAAGACTCAGACGCCAACTAATCCGCCGGTTTGGTGGTTAGGACCAAATGATCCTATTCTTTTGGAGACCAATGATGGTAATAAAGTAAATACACATTATTTGTTTTGTGAAATAATTTGTTTTTTTGCAGCTTATCTTTTGGGTGAAAAAATTCTGGTTGCTCCAGTGTTGAACCAAGGACAAACCAGTAGGAGTGTTTATCTTCCTCTAGGAGTTTGGCAGGATGGTAATGACGAAACAAAAACTTATGACGGCCCTGTTTCGATTTCTTATGACGCTCCATTAAGTGTCTTACCATTTTTTATCAAATTGAATTAATTTCCAAGTTTTTTTTTTATTAATTATTAAACGTATGTATGTATGTCTTAAAATTTTGCAATCAGTAGCTGCTCACGAACTGACCATTTTCTGACCTATGTTGAAGTTTTCGATTTCCATTTATCGATCAGTGTGCACTGAGTATATGTTCCTATCTTTTTCTAATAACATGTAAACTATAAGGATAAAGATATTTTTTTTTCGCACTGTTCAGATTTTTTCTTCAAGTTAGGTCAGAAAGTGGTTTGTTCGTAAGCAGCTAATATTTCACCCATTTCTACTTAAGCTATCGGGCTGAAATTTGGCACACACGTTTGGTTCACGTGACAATGCACGATCACCATTACCTAAATGCCGCCATTTTTAATCTAATGGCGATTTATCATTTTCACAGCACCCTCCATGATATAAGTGTCAAATGGAAGGGCTTGATAAACAAAACACAATAAGTGGAGTGACGTCACTCTGAATCCAATATGGCCGGCGTCAGCAACCTTCATAATATGAGTATCAAATAAGCGGAACACAATAAGAAGTGTGACGTTATTCTAAATCCAACATAGCGGACGTCACAAAATGACTTAACATTCCCTCACCAACTACTATGTTATTATAAAAGGGCTTGATAAACGGAACACAATAAATAGAGTGACGTCATTCTAAATCCAATATGGCGGACGTTACAAAATGGCGACTTATTATTCCCACACCAACCCCTATGATATGGGTATCAGCTGAAAGGGCTTCATAAGCGGAACACAATGAGTAGAGTGTCGTCATTCTGAATCCAATATGGCGGACGTTACAAAATGACGATTTATTATTTCCAAAGCAAACTTCATGATACGAGTATCAAATGAAAGGGCTTGATAAGCAGAACACAATAAGTAGTGTGACGTCATTTTGAATAACATATTGCGGACGCCACAAAATGACAACTCAACATTTCCTCATCAACCCCTATGATATAGGTACGTATCAAATAGAAGGGCTTGATAAGTGTAACAGAATAAGTAAGGTAACGTCATTCATATTCCAATATGGGAAGTGTCACAAAATGGCGACTTATTTTTCCATACCAACCCCGATGATATGGGTATCAAACGAAAGGGCTCAATAAGAGGAACACAATAAGTATAGTGACATAATTCTAAATGCAATATGGCAGACGTTACAAAATTGCGATTTATTATTTCCACAGCAACCTCCACGATATGGGTATCAAATGAAAAGGCTTTATAAGTAGAACATAATAGACACTTTAAGTATTGGACCAAACACGTTAACGTAATTTTTAAACGTAAACCCTATTTTTACTATAGCGTCGAGTGACGGTCGGTACTCATAAATCAGTTTTTAAGTTAAATTTTCACGCAAACGTTAATGTTATATCTCTCAATCATGACTTAACCTCTAAATTACATGTTAACTTTTTTTAAGGGCAAAATACATTCGGCAATTGTCGACACCGGCAATCTGGCTTCTGGGCCCACTCAGTTTAGCGAACGTTTACGGATAAGGTGCATGCAAAGACCCACTAAACGTAACACGTAACACGCTATTTTTGGTGAAAAGAAACTGCGCATGCGCACCTGTCAAATCCTACGTTAGCGTTAACGTGTTTCGTCTAACTTAAAGTGTCTAATAAGTCATTCATAACATCATTCTAAATCCAATATGGCAACGTCCCAAAATGGCGACTTATTAATTCCGACACCAACCCCCATGATACGGGAACAGCATACGGGTATCAAATGAAAGGATTTGATAAGCAGAATACAAAAGTAGTTTCATATTTTCAAACCATAAGGGCCATAAGTGGAAACGGAAAAAAAATAAAGAAAAACATAGCATAAATAAGTAAGGTTATGAGCAGAAAATGTCAAAAAAATCATAAAAGTGAGTAAGCAATGCTGCATGTAATGCCAACTTTTCAGAGTTTACCAACTCTGGGTTTAAAAAGCTTTCAACTTAACTAGGTAGTTAGCCCAGAGTTACAGTTGACCCAGGGTCAGCGGGTCAGCAAACTCTGCGAGTTATCCCTTGATTGATAAACCAGCACTTACGGAAGCAGTAAACAAATTCGTGGTGTAATAACAGTGAACAGAATGAAATAGATTAGTTAGGCTGAAGACACAGACAAATACAAGGTACAAGAAATAGATACAAAATATCAAAAAATCGAATTTTTGTATTTGTGGCATGGCAAGTAAATTGTATCCTGTATCCATTTATTCTTATAGCACTTGTTATTATATTCTTGTCTTTGGTCACTTGTACCTTGTATTTGTCATTGTGTCTTCCTTGGCCAAAAAGTACTTAATCGTACAGTCTTTTTTGAAACTTTTCAATTTTCCTCTCACCCAGAAACAATGATCCAGAAATTTTGATACCCTTATGACATTGGCGATACTGCTTAATGGAAAATTTGAAGGAATCCTGTGCAACAATATCCAGACCGCCCTTCGTCTGGTTGAAGAATGGTAACAACCCCAGTAAGATGAGAATGGTGTTCTTCATCAGAAAAAGAAGAACGGCACCTCTTTGGTATCACTCTAGCCGTTAAATTGAACTTCACCTTGAGAGAAGACTATGTAATGATCCAGAAATTAGACCGTAAATCACAATGTCTTTACTGTAAAAATTAAATAATTATCAAATAATCAAAAACTTAATTTCCGGTATTTCTAAATCAGTATCGATAAATTAAAATGAAACAAATTAAAGCTAACGTATTTCGACACCCAGCGTGATGTCATCCAACATCCGATCAATGAACTTTTTTTTAAGCGATGCCATCGCGTACCTAATTAAATCGAATGATTTATGGAATTCTTGAACCAATAATGTTTTGACCTCGATAAATCAGGATATTGCGACATAATTATTCGATTTTTAGACTAAAAATGATAAAAATCTCAAGGAAATTGCATCATCTTAATTATCATGGACAGAGAAAATTGGGGGGATCGATTTAATATAAAAACCGCGGTTTTAGAAGAGGAAGGCAGTTGTTAGTTGTCGGTTGAGAGATGAGTTCGCAGTCCTGTCCAGTTTGAGTTAAAATCTACAGTAACTAAAGTGTCAGCCCGGAATTTTTTTTGTATTGCCTCGGTAACAGTCTTTGAAAAAGTAGCGGAAAAATTTTGAAAGAAAGAACAATTAAATTGGTCAACATTTATGTGCGTGCTAGCTAAACATTTTGAGTAATTAATTAAGTAATTTTACGTGTGCAAAGTAAAATGTAAGTACTTTAGTGTTTAATAATTTTCTGACTTTTATCAATGATTCTGAATGATTAACAATGACTTTTATTTGCAACCATATATGTAATCTTGACATTTTGACGGTTTGCACCGACCGTTATAAGGGAGGCTTAACGATAAGTATACCTTAAAATGACAGTTTTACATGCAAAAATGTCACTTTAAGGAATACTTATCGTTAAGCCTTCCTTAAAATGGTCGGTGCAAACGGCCCTTAGAAATTTTAAAGAATTTAGAGAAAAAGGTGAAGGGTAGTTAATAGGAATGAATCGGAAGTGTTGAAATGAGTTATTATAAGTTATAGTAGGAATAGGGCGTTTCTTATTTAGTAGGGATATTTCAGTGGTCCGTAATAATAACAATTTTAGAACGGATTTGAAGTAATTGAATTTATAGAAATAGATGAGGCTGTCAGAATTGGAAGATATTTTGCTGATTTAAATTTTTGGGTTTTATGTATAATAAAATATAATTTTAGTACACCTCAATAGTTTGTTTCTCTCTCTTGCAAATAGACCCTTCCACAGATTTTAGGTAGCAGTAAATAAGCACCATCAATATACCGCTCGCCATTTACCATCTAACTAATTACATAGAGTACTTGGGGCGTTTTGCTACAACTAACTATCTTTTGAGTAGAGTAGCAGAACACTTAGGGCGTAAAGCTAGAGTTATGATGTGGATCTACACTGCTATCATTATGGCCATTTGCACGGCTATCACTTAAGTATCACTTGAGGGATATTCAATCTAAGTGGAGCTTTGAATGTGACTTTTGTTTCTACAAGAGCCACATTCAAAGCTTCACTTGGATTAAATATCCCTTAAGTTATAGCGGTGCAAATGGCCGTTAGACTGAGATTGCGTGGGTCAAGTCAAGGAGCACGCGCAGTGACTTGCCATTAAATCAGCAAATAGACTGGCGAAGGCAGCTTTTAACTCCCGATATTGAGACCAAGGGGCGGATTACGAACTCTCGATTCGAACCGAAACCGCCATGGACTTCGAACGCATTCTGATGCATTCGCATGGAGTGCGTTCGAAATCCATGACGGTTTCGGTTCGAATCGAGAGTTCGTAATCCGCCCTCTGGTCCTTCCAATCTGCCCCTTGCTAGTCTGACTTAGAGCTGATCAAAAATATCACTTTTGAAGACTTTACGTCAAGATGGGATGAGAGTACCCCCTGTGAACTAGGTAGAAAGCTGCTCAGGTACCCTAATGAATTGTTAGGAAGTTTTGACCAACGTGAAATCAGGGCCATAAGAGTTCCTGTTTGGAAATCGACCCACTGAGTAGTGGATCCCGCATTCCTGATTTCACTTTGGTCATTACCTGAAAAAACTTTCTAACAATTTTCATTGCTAACGAAAGCTCAGACCAATCAGTGTAGTTCAACGTCGGTAGGGGTATTTGCCCTCGGATTAGTTGTTTCTGACTGGTCAACGAAGTACCCTAATGAAGTTGCAGCAAAAAAGTACCTGAATATGTCAAGGAAAAACCTTCGTTTCATGAGAGGGTTTCTGACAGGCCACTGCCAGCTAAAAAAACATCTCCATTCAATGGGATTAAGCTTGTCACGTCTGTGCAGGGGTTGTGAACAGGAGGGCGAAACATTGCTGCATCTGCTTCGCCATTGCGATGCCGTCTCGGATCAGAGTGTGACGGAACTAGCTATTACCCCTTTTTGGGCTTTAGTCAAACTGCACCAGGGATGCCAAAAGTTTTTAATTTGATAATAATATCATTTATGGTTAAATATGCACCAGAGCACAACATAAATAATTCGTCAACTTCAATCAGTTCAGAGCAATCACAAAATGTTTATTGATCCTTTAAGGTTCTTTAATTTATTGAGAGTTAACAATTTGAGCACTTTTCTGCGGAAGTCTGTAAACAATATGTGCAAGAAAGGTCTTTATATATGCTCAGTTTCTATATACAAATGTACAAATGTTAATTTCACGAGTGCGAAAACCAAATTTCTGCATTAAACGTTAGAAAACACTTCAATTTATAGTGCATTTCAAGCGAATCACTAATCACTATTTATTGTTCGACTGTTAGAGAAATTGTAACAGTCTTACTTGCTTAATCCGGTTCATGCAGATAAATTCACCCACAAGGCGATTATTTATCTATTCATCACCACTATTCACACTGGCAGCTAGGGAATTTTCCACTGAGATGAAAAGAAAACACAACGATATACAGGTGCGTTGGAGCCCGTCGAGAGTGAGAGAGAGCCAAAAGACAATCGCGTAGGAGAGAATTTTGCTCGTCCGAGGTGACTTGCAACAATTAGGGGTTAATTACATGAATTGTAATCAATAATATAGACCATGTCAGGCCTTGAGACAGAGAGAGTAGTACTTTACTAAAAATCGCGCGTACTAACGGGGGTTTTTTGGGGGTTTTGCCTCTGGAGAGCATTCAGAGGGTGCGAACTCTTCGCCTATTCTAATAGTACTGAAGAATGTGCGTTGACTAGACTCTGCCAGGGGAGTAGGTCGCAAAAATCTAGAAAACAATGTGGCGGCTGACCAATCACAGCAGCGAGAAAGGTCCACTGCCTTATAAGGTAATGAAGAAACCTGTAATTTTATTGGTTCAAAGGGTTGTTGTTGCCGGTTTTACAGGATAAATAGTCTAGCAATAGCATCTATTTTTAGAATATTATTTTTATGGTAAATAAAAGAAATTGAGATATATTAAATTAGAAATAATAAAACTTAAACCTGTTGTGGGTTATTTCCACAACAAAGAGAATTCATTCTTTTAGAGCGCAGACCTGGGCTGGGATCACGACGAGTAGAATTCTACTTTCACAACGTCGCCTGCGACTTATTTATTGCGTACAGTACAGTCCATAGAAAGTCAATGATGACATGATGGCAACCTGACACGCCATGAAAGTAGAATTCTACTTGTCGTGATCCTAGCCCTGATACGACCTTTCTTCAGACTACTTCTCCGGCTTCTTCAAAATATTAGGCTGGACGATGGCCTGAAGATTTGACAGGACCAAGAGATCGCACAAAAAGTCCAATGGGGCCTAAGTGCCGTGACTCGTCATGGGAAACCGTGCACCAAATCCAGATCAGATATTGGCAGACTGGCAGAGGTGGGGTATTGACGAAAAATATAATTAAAAAACCAGCGTTGTCCACTGGGAGTGCGGTCTTTACCAATTCAAGTTAATGCCTTTTGGACTCGGTAACGCCCCTGCTACTTTCGAGAGGTTGATGACTTATGTGGAAAGTATGCCTTGTCTACCTAGATGAAGTGTTAGTGATGGGAAAAAAGTTTCGATGACCACCGAAGGAAATCCAGAAGTTTCCTTGGGTTTTGTCTATACCGTACAGACGATTTGTAAAAGGATTTGCTAACAGCTCCGTTGCATAAACTTACTGTAGGTAATTTGTCAAATTTCTTTTTGGTACCTATATTTTCCAACATCATCATTTGGATTCTGTATTTCTAATCTGGAGCGAAATTTTCCAACTACCTTAAAAACCAGATTGGAAAATCTGAGAAAATAGTTTTCATTTTTTCCTTAAAGCAGGTAATTTCCTAGGTGGGAGGAGTAGGAACATGAAGATGGAAAATGAAGCCGTTTTTTTCCAGGTATTTTGAGATCCAAAATAATGGCGGTATAGCTAATTCAATGCTTTACCTGTCATTTGGCGTACACACACACCTGCTAAAAACTGACTTCACTTTTAATTCCATAGCAGAATGGCGCGTTCCTATTCCTTATGTCCGTAGAACAGCGCTTTACCTGCTCTAAGATTTTTTCAATCAAACAAAGTTCTGTTTATATAAAAAAAAAGAAATCCATAACAAAAACTCCTCTCAGATATATGAACGAATATAGAGAATCTGGAGCTAGGCTATCAGCGGTAAAAAGCCAACGGCGAAACATCCCGACAAAAACCGACATTCCTATATAAGGCCCTATTTAGATTTTCTCTCCTCTTTCTTTGGCGGCTTTAGTTTGTGGATGTAAACGTTCCAGTGAGGAGCAGGATTTGTTTCCACAAAATGTCGCTCAACAATATTCAAAAGTACAAAAGAAAAATGTGATAAAATAATAAATTATAAAAATGTCCGAAAGCTCTCCAGATTTATCCCTAAAGCTTCGTCGCGGCTCTAGCGATTCGCGAGACTCGTTTTATATGGATTTCGATAGGGGAATCGACTCCGACATCGAAGAAATGGCTTCGGGGGCTGATTTCGGGGGTGACACCACCACTTCGACCGCTTTATTAGGCATTAAAACAATTGACGACGAGTAAGCGTTCGATTTAAATAAATTATGTATATAAATTGCAATTACTTAATCCAGTTGGCCTAACATTCCCCCTCAAAACATGAGCGGAGGCAGCAGGAGCAGCGCAGCAATTTTAGGTCCGCTTTTACCGTCTCCCCTTGCTGTTATAGTTTCTCCGGAAACATCACCGACGAAAAATGTTAATACAGTTCAAATACACACATTTAAGTAAGTTTTGATTTGCAAAATTTTGTCAGATTTATGGTTAAATTGTAGGACCGTCTCTACACCACCTACAAATTACTATTATCATCATCATCAACAACCGCCTGTTGGAAGACGGTTGAGTAGGGCGGAAAAACAAAGCGAATGGCGTCAATTAGGGCTGTAAGTCTGTTAAATTACTAAATATGAATTCTATAACAAATTATATCTTAGGGATGCTCTTACAACTACCCTCTCAGCGCTTTATGGCAAACTGCTGGTCGTCATGGGAACAGCGTTTCCCATGGCGGAAGTAATTTCCACCTACATCCCCCCGTCCTTTTACGAAGCCTACTATCTCTATCTCTACATCGGAAGTATGCTGTTTCTATTCTACATGTGGGCGGCACTTTTAAGAGACAAAAGACGCACGAAAAAAAAAAGACGGAAAGACACAAATATGACAGCCAGTGCAGGTGAGACATTTTTTTTTTTTTTTTACCAAATAATACACTTATTTAACGGATTCATGCGACTGTTTTCCTCGCATTCAAACTCTCGGGCGAATTCAATAGAATTCCTTAGCACGCCAATGATCCGGAAAATCCCTGGGGAATGTACGGACGTTTTCATGCGATTCTTTGCTTCTTCGATTTTTTGTTGGCCGCACCACACTTGAGCGAAATTCAAAAAGAATAATTGCTTACTTGTTAAATTTAAGCCTAAAAACAATATTAGGTTCAATGCTGATCTGATTAACTCGATCACCAGCTAATGTAATTTGTCTTTTTTCAATTGAAGAAAGATGAAAAACAGTTAATACCTGGTAAACACTCGTCTGCTTTGGGATTAGCTTCCGTCCACGTTTCGTACGCTCTGAAAGCCTCCTTCAGGCCTCCGTTGTCCGCAATGTTTTCACCTTGCGTCAAATATCCGTCAATGGGCACTTTGAGCTGCGGCAAAACGTACTGGCTGTACTGGTCGATTATGCACTGGGCTTTTTCGTAGAAATTCCTAATGGCGGATTCTCGCCACCACATCATCAAGTTGCCTTGCTGGTCAAACAACCGGCCTTTGTCGTCGAATCCGTGAGTGATTTCGTGTCCGATCACGACACCGATCCCTCCGAAATTCAACGCTTTCGGAAAGTGTTTGTGGTAGAATGGCGGTTGAAGAATACCTATTGATAATTATACAAACTGTCAATGTCAAAAACTGTAGCGATCGTTTAAAAGAACGATATATTGTCAAATGTCAAAATAAATGCCCTTTATACATCTGATTGATTGAATTTGCAAACCATCCAATCAAAGCTTAACTTTGACAGATTACCCGATGACGTTACTTCCTGTTGAAAACGAATATCAAATGCTGATTGGAGAGGGTAATAACAAATGACAAAACAAAACTGTCAGTCACATAACGTCACAATTTGCATGTCAGATGTAATCGAATTCTGTCTATACCATTTCCAAATCCAAGCGGCAGTAAATGACATTTAAATAACCTAAATTGTAAACAAAATCCAAAAACCCGTCAAATTGAAATTCAAAATGGAGGCAGATGCCGTTTATTGTGATTTTTGATTTGTATAGTCTGTAAAGTGTTAATTTTTTGGAAAATGCATACGTTATGTATTGTACTTAGTTGTGGGAACTGTTCTAATCGCTTGAAAGTCTAGTTTCATGCCGTTCCTGCAGGACAAAACACAGGTTTTTAAGGATCCAAGGCATTTATTAGTATCCTCCACATCAGCTTATGTCGATAACTTGAATAGCAGACAAATAAAATAATAAAATCAGATTTTCGAAAATAAATTTTCGAAAATAGAAAATTCTTGACAGTGTGGCGAACCAAGTAATTTGCTCTGACACGGCCAGATTTACGCAATACTTGGTGGTTTTGCTTTGTAACAGCGTTGCCAGACTCTAAATATGGAAGTGTGGTACACAATGCTCAAAAACTGTCGTACAGGGACGTACGCGCCATGAATACTTGTGGTACACATTACCTTACGTTTCCAGTACATATGTAGGTATTCACTAGAAAAAATATGATTTGTTTGAGAGCGTAAAATGTTGAAAACTTGAAAATAGACCTTACAACAACAGGAGTATCGAGAACTCGAACATTGATAAATGCTAAAATGCTCAAATATTTTATAACAACTTTCTCAAGCTTGCAGGCAATTTTTCGCGAGGATAATCAAGCATTATCTGATTATGCTGGGTTATGTAATGTGTCAATCAGAATCTAGTGAGCTATAAATAGGTACTATACATATAGGAAGCCGAGTTCGTTTTTGTCATCTTTTTCGTCGATTTGCTTCGAAATTTTGACAGACTGGATCAGACAGTTTCAATTTACAAATAACGTGCCTGTCAAAATTTCGGAGCAAATCGACGAAAAAGATGACAAAAACGAACTCGGCCATAAACTTATAAACTGTCAATTGTGTCATACTCTACTCCCCTAACTCCCTCCTCATCAAATTTTGGGCCTGCGAGTGACGTCACTATCAGCAGCTTATAGTGATGACATCACCCGCAGACCTCGATGGAATACTCGCGATTCAGGCTGTGCTATTTAGTTTGTGAATCTTTTCGTCGATTTTAAATGTAGAAAAAATAATTTTCGGTGTGTTTTCTCACAAGAAATTAAGTGTTCTTGATGATTCTCGAGTATCCCAGAATTTGATGGTAAGAGAGTTGGGGGAGTATGGTATGACACAATTCACACATCACATAATCAAGCATAATCGATAAATTATGTTTGATTGATTATCCTCGCGAAAAATTGCCTATAGACTGTTTTCAAGCCACAAGCTTTGAAAATCTGTCATAGATTTTTTACCCAATTTGGCCAACACACATAAGAAAAAAAGGAGAATGTAGAAATGTGGTACATATTACCATAAAATATTACCAATCAACCCAATATTTCTAAACTGTGGTACTTTACCGTACTACCGTACGCATTGATTTTCTTGTAACGAATATGCCCTAAACTGTCGTACAAATACCACACCTGTCGTACGTCTGGCAACGCTGCTTTGTAAGACAATGGAGAAAACTGAATTCTCTCTCATTGGGTACTTTCGCTAATTGCAGACCGGTTTCGGACTTGTTATGTCCTCGTCAGTGCAATATAAGCGAAAAGCACACCAACTAAGAGAAACAGTTTTGCAGGAGATTCAAACACTAGACAAGATGTAGATCTTAAATAGCGTGTGGCTCCCTCTCGTAGAAGTCAAACAAAGCAATAACCGAGAACAGCCCATTTGGGTGTTGTAGAATAAAATCAGATTTTCGAAAATAAATTTTCGAAAATAGTCATCAGGATTCAGGATTTGGTTAAGAAAAAACTAAACAGGAAACAAATCCTGGATAGTACCTACCTAATTGTTTAGAAGGTAAAGGTTATTTCTCACAAAGAAATCATAACTTTTGCAAACATCCGGGTTTTCCACTAATAATTTCTTAAACTAACAACTTTTCATACTAAAATAACAAAAATATCCTTCCAAACACTAGAAAAATCATCTAAAAACACCACAAAATCTACAAATAACAGTTTTTTGATGAAAAATGTCACGGATGTTTGAATTAAATTTATGGCGCTAATTTTTTGGCATTGACCATGCATTGGCCGCCATTTTGTTTCGATTGCCCTATTAGACTATCCAAGATGCTGTCAAACTTAAATTAAAATGGCCGCCAAGAGGCACACAAACCCTTTGTTTATGTGTCATCCAATTTGTCATCAAATAATGTTATGAGTTTTTGAGTTTAAAATAGTGCTCATTGTGAATTATTTGCGTTCTGATACTTAAAACTGTTGTTTTTATTAATTTTAGGAATAGTGTATTTAAATACTGTATGTAAATCGTAGTAAATAGTTCTTGAAAAGCGAAAAGCATGCCTACAACGTGTTGTATTATTAAATGTGGAAGTCGTGGAGATCACAGATTAACCCAGATCGAGACATTGCTAATTTTTTTCAAATTCCAAGAGAAAAAAAAACAATACAAATCAAAGGACAACACTGGACGGTTAAGTAAAAAAGGTAGAGCAACCTTGCCCAAACAATAAGAATTCCGTAATTGGGTAGAAACTAGCAAAAATTGAGACGCACGACGCACACAATAGAAAATGAGTATTGAATTATGATCAGAGGTACAACATATCAAAAATTCAAGCAATTTTACCGAAACCACTTTGACATAAAATAATGATGTTATGGCACTTATGGTTTGTATTTGTGTCAATGTTTGTGTGCCTCTTGCCGGCCATATTTTGCTTGTCAAAGTCACGTGTTTTGGATAGTCTAATGGCATGTAATATTGACAGTTAAGTTGAAGAGGGCGCTTCTGTACTTGGATCTCTTTGAATTTTGGCGCGTAAAAATTTGTTTGTAATTCTAACCTCAAAACTTAAGTTTGATGTGTGGTTTCATGACAAGCTGACGCTGACACTTTTAAAAATATTCTCTAAGGGCCACTGAATGCTTTAGAAGATATTTTAACTTATCCATTGTCCATTGTTCATATGTAGTCATCTTTCCTTCTACTCAATTTAATCGGTTTAAAACTATTGACATTTACCGCCAAAATTTAAAGCACTCCAAGTTCACTCGCGCCCTCTACAAAATTTTGCGGAATTAACTGGATATTTGCTGCCATTTGTTGAAACTAGGGATGGCAAAAATATATCGATATTTTGTGAATATCGATATATTACTCAAATATATCGATATATTTATATCGATATCTTACATTGGATATATCGAAAAAAATATCGACATAATGTTTTCGATATATCGGCAATTTTAAAATAATGCCTTCGCTCGTGCGCGTCTTGACTGTGACAGTCTGATAGTTGACAGTGGCGGCTAAAATAAAATAAACGTCAGTTAGGGCGTGTACGTACAAACTGAATGAGGAAAAGAGACTTTCCTCATGATTAAGGGCAGGTATTATAAAACTACTTTGACAGTTCAATAAAAGTTAACTTCTGGGATTAAATGAGAAGTCACGTCATTCCAGAAGTTAACTTTCAATTATTCTGTCAGAATAGTTTTATGATAGATACCCGCCATATGGAACGTTTTTTTTGTATGATCGTGCGGAAAAGTACTTTTCCGCAAACATTTTGGGACATAAAAGTATCAGGGTGACCTAACATTGCATAATTATTCTACTTTTCTACACTAGTGCGGAAAAGTGATATTTTCATGACCTAAAATGTGTGCAGAAAAAAAGCACTTTTCGCACGCTCGTAGAAAAAAATAAAAAAAATAAAATATATATCGATATATTAAAAATATCGATGTTTTCCGTTCGATATCTCGAATGTATCGATATGTTATTTCGATATATCATATGATTCGATATATCGATATATTTTTTGATTTTGTCATCCCTAGTTGAAACGCCCTACTTGGACCAGTGCCCATGCTCAGAGGACATTTGATAGGTTATAATGAAAATGACCAATTCGCCATTTACTGCCGCTTGGATTTGGTTCAACCATTGTTGAAAATCTGATGGAGAAAGATCAGCCAAATAGGGCGGATGTAAAATAGCCTCTTAATAAAATTTCCGTATGGGTTTATATATTTATGTATGTATGTATGTATGTATGTATGTATGTATGTATGTATGTATGTATGTTGTTATTGTAATTCTCTATTTTGAAATACCCTAGTTCAGTGTCAATGAATACTGTTATATGATGTTAACTTATGGTAATAAGCTTGATATCCATGATCACACCCACACTCACTAGGTTATTCTGTCCACGAAGGTCTATTACCATTTACAGAGCTGTTTATATAGAGATGTGTCTCTTCTATTGCCTGTGACACAAACTCGTCCTGGGATTCCTGGGAGATCAGTCTTATATTTTAAGTGTGGCTTATTTGCACTCACACTTCTGGAACATTGAACTACATTGTTTCGATCTACAGAAGTACGGACTTTAAAGCACACCTTGAAAAAATGTCCTACTACTCCCTGACAAGCAGCGCATATTTTTACGGTATGCTTTCTGGATGTTCATTAATATAAGCATCTTGAACAATTTATCTTTTTTATGTAGAAAAAGTTCGTGTCCCCCAATAAATTCAAGGAAGAAAGAAGTAGTCGGAGGACAAAAATATTTTTTATATTATTAGGTATTTCCATTGGTATTGGTATCAAGTCTCAGTGCATTTACTTCTTCTTTGGTCAGTGTTCTCTGTTTAAATTCACTGTAGTGCAATATTTTGTTCACTGTTAAGTCGGTCTGTTTGTCAATCAAGCCTACAACTACCCTGTCACGTATCATTTTTTCTGAGTATAATTAATTACAATCAGCTTTCTTGCAAAAAAAAATCACAATTTTCCACTTGATTTCTAAGCTCTGTCAAATAATTTTCAATGGTTTGGCCTTCTTTTTGCTGAAAGTTGTTCAATTTGAAAGCTTCCATTGGGTAATATGTTTCGGGTATAAAATGGCCATCATAAGCTTCAAAAAGTTTCTGAAAAGTATCTGTCTCATCATCAGTAAATGTATTGAAAAGTTCTAAACCATATTATCGCTTAGAAGAATGGCTATTTCGATGTCTTGAACTTTTGCTTGTAGAAATTCCAGTCCATATGGTTTGTTTTCACAGAAGTCTCTGATAGTTTGCATTGTTTGCAACCTGTCAGAAACAATCGCTCAGCTAAGTTACTAAGTTTTATCTTGGAACGACGGCATTGAAAACATGTATGGGCGATGCTTACTGACAGTTTGCAAACTGTCAGAATCTCTTGTAAGAAGAGGAGACCTAATATCCCATTTTGTCAAAAGGCCTGGTGGCTTCGCAAAATTTATTTTTGAATTATACCGACTTTGTCCCAAAGTTCCTAAAGTTAATAGGTTGTCTCGGTAATAAGTAACTTGATGACGTTATCTGGCGTGCCTTGTGGAGATTTACATTATGTCGAGGCAACCCAGATGATGTCATAGAAGTTATCACGCAACCTCCCTCTCTCAAACAACTTTGACTTTGTCCAACGAATCTGGGGAGTATAAGTGAGTATTCACACCAAAATAGCATGCGACGTGCGACTTGCTGCTAGGAAGCAGCAGTGGAATTCTCAATCGTTAAGTCGATATGTAACGTCGCGACTCCTTGTAGGTTTGTAGAAAGGCAATAGGAAGTCCAGGTCGATAGGTTGCGACTAGAGGTTGAGAATCCCGCCCCAGGAAGCATGAAAACTATCAAAATACAGGATACATGTTGCCACGTTGCATTTTTGCGACGGCACTGCGGTGTGAAACCTGCCATATATTTTTATAAACATTCTAAAATAAGTAGCATGCTTCTTTGCTTCCTAGCAAGTCACACGTCGAATGCTACTTTCGCGTGAGTCTGTGAATGCTCACCTGGATGTCTATTCTCGAAACTGGGGAACAGCGTTCTCATGAGAACGATTGCACTGTCTTTGTCAGTTTTATGGAAATACGACTATGGGCGACAAAGATAGGACCTTCGTTCCTAAGAACGTTGCTCCCCTATTTCCAGAATAAGAACCCAGAGATAATGCTTATCGGCCTCGTTTTTGGCAATCGCCGCCATATTGGTGTGATACCATTTCCGACGTCATAGCTAAGTCGTCAGCCTACGTCAAGGCGAGAAATAACATGCTGGCTACGTCACAACTGGTATTTTGGGTGAGGGGAAGGGGGGGATTTGTTACACACAGGTCCTACGAAGATACGCCATCCTGTAGTAGTAGTGTGTATCATCCTTAATCTGACACGACACCATGTTTTACCTAACCTCACTTTGTCATTGATCTAAGCCGTATTTGGCCCTGGCTCTTCAAGGAGAATACACACTTTAAGAAGTACTTATGGGCCTCGTTTTTGGTAATCGTCGCCATATTAGCTGCTTTTTTTCTACACACCTATCTTAGCTAATGTAGCAAAACGCCCCAAGTACTCTATGTAATTAGTTAGATGGTAAATGGCGAGCGGTATATTGATGGTGTTTGTTTACTTGGAGCTGCTACCTAAAATCTGTGGAAGGGTCTATTTGCAAGAGAGAGAAACAAACTATTGAGGTGTACTAAATTATACATCCGTTCTAAAATTGTTATTATTACGGACCACTGAAATATCCCTACTAAATAAGAAACGCCCTATTCCTACTATTCCTAATAACTTATAAGTTAACTCAATTCAACACTTCCGATTCATGCCTATTAACTACCCTTCACCTATTTCTCTAAATTCTTTAAAATTTCTAAGTCCTTCACTGACTGCTTATGAAAACCCAAAATAATTACCTATTTGTTTATCAATATAGGTATTACTAACTTATTCTTATAAAACCTTACAATAATTTCTACTTGAAAAATAAAAATCCTAATTCAAAATTCATTTCATGAACAACAATTTCCCAATATTTTAAGACAATTCTATTTCATGAACATCAAGTTTCTTTTCAAAATTTCCTATTGCAGTTAATAGTTTATCAGAACAAATTCTATTTTCGGATTCCTATGCCTAGCTAATAAAAATAAACCCAACTGTTTAATTCATAATCCCTACTGAAAATAGTCAAAATTGTATATTGGTAAGTGCATTATAAATTCCCTTCATATTTTTGGTGCAAAATTAAATTAGAATGTCATTATATCTGAAGGCAATTAAAGTTATGCAATAATGTTCCATTTTCAAAACACCCGAATTATTGATATTTATGCAATAAAGTTCCACAGTCAATTATAAAGTCAAAAGTTTTTGTAGTTAAAATCACTCAAGTTTTTAGGCATTAAAAGTCATTGTTAATTCACTTCTTATCATTCAGAATCATTGATAAAAGTCAGAAAATTATTAAACACTAAAGTACTTACATTTTACTTTGCACACGTAAAATTACTTAATTAATTACTCAAAATTTTTAGCTAGCACACACTTTCAAAATTTTTCCGCTACTTTTTCAAAGACTGTTACCGAGGCAATATAAGAAACTTTTTGTACTGACACTTTAGGTACTGTAGATTTTAACTTAAAACTGGACAGGACTGCGAACTCATCTCTCAACTGACAACTAACAACTGAAACCGCGGTATTTATATTAAATCGATCCCCCCCGCAAAGTATTATTAATTATCCCCCAAATCGTCAATAGGCGGTCGTTTGACTCTCAATCAGACAATTCCATTGGCCGACCTAAATATTATTAAAAATAATGATGCAATTTCCTTGAAATTTTTATCATTTTAAGTTAAAAAAATCGAATACTTATGTCGCAATGTCCTGATTTATCAAGTTCGAAACATTATTGGTTCAAGAATGCCATAAATCATTTATAATTACTTGGCCTCGCTCTTTTAAGTTCATTGATTTAGGAGATGCCACAAGCTTGATGACGAAACACCTAATATAATATTAAAATTTGTTCCCTTTTCAATTTATTGATACTGATTTGGAGATACCGGAAATTCTGTTTTTGATTATTTGACATTTATTAAATTTTTACAGCAAAGACATTGTGATTTATGGGTCTATTTTCTCGGAATATTACATCAACCTAAGTTGTTTTGAATAAAGGACCGTTTTTTCTAACATCTTAGGTGAGTTTATGTCAGTCGAAATTACCTCCCCCCTTGCCTACACCAAGGATGCCGGATTCCATCCTTAGTTCAATTTCTTATCTGAGGTTATGTTTATTTAAGGTTAGATCCTTTGTTCATCTAATGTGTACGTTTGAACTACAACTTAGGTCAGTTAAGATTTTCAAAGTAAGCTAAGATAAGACAGTGTGCAGAAAAAAAGCAGCTTCTGCCGCCATTGCCGACGTCATAACTGAGTCGTCAGCTGTTTAAACAGCCTACGTCAAGGCTAGATATAACAGGCGACAAATAACATGATGCCTACGTCACAACTGGTATTTTGGCCGGGAGGGGAAAGAGGGGGGATTTGTTACACACCTGTGCCTTATGAGGATAGGCCATCCTGTAGTCGTAGTGTGTATCGTTCTTGGTGCTCCTGTTCGCTTAGTGGGTGTGATCATGGATAAAGGATATTAACATTAGTATTGTATTTTTAATACCCATATTTAGAATTACAGTGACTCTATTACCACAGTGGCGACAATTGCTGTCTTATTTTTGATTGGTTCTAAATTCCCATATATTTATATTGAAAACGCCGCCATCTTGTTCTCAACCTCTTGTTACTTTTAAATATGAATATATGGGATTTAAGTGAACATCCATCATAAATCATGGAAAACAACGTATTTGATGAACCTAATAATGGTCATCAAATACGTCGGTTCCAATTTTTTATGATAGATGTCCATTTAAATTCTATATAATAATATTTAAAAGTAACAAGAGGTTGGGAACAAGATGGCGGCGGGACCTCTATTGCTGCCACTGTATGTAAAGGTTTATTTAGCCACTGTATTTAGAATAACCCCATCCTTATTTATCAATCACGTAGGCACTAGCTGACGTCACATACATAACCTCACAATGATATTTTTGTCCCCCTATCGAAAGTGACGTTATGTGATTTTTGACGTAATAGTTAGCTATTACGTCCGCGTATAACTAGACGTTCAAACGCTTTGTTTGTCCCCCAATCGAAAGTCTAAAAGTGAGGTTGTGTGTGACGTCAGCTAGTGCCTAATAAAGCATGTTTTGATTTCATTTGATTTGATACCATGGCTGACTCTTCACAATCCATGATTAGCGTGGATCTACAATGATTAGGACTTTCAAAAAAAATTTAGTGACCTGATAGTGAATCGATCATGTGATAATAAACGACAACCCTATTTTGGCACTAAAGTTCCGAGGAAAGACAAGGATTTTAGCAGTACAAACTTACATTATCGAAATGATACAATACATAGTTACATATTAAATCTTACCAGCAGGAAACATAATTTGATTCTTGTTCCGACTGTAGTAAGCATTAACGACAGCGGGCGAAGTACTCCAAAGCGTCCTGTTGACATCGCACCCCAACTTTTTCTGTTCCGCCCTGCTCGAGTGCCTCAAAATCCCCAAAACATTCTCGAAAAAACAATCCCTACTTATCGTCACGTCGTAATATCGCATGGCCAGCTCGGTACGATTCAAAACGAAATCAGGAAACCCTATTTTCAAATCCATACTTTCCACCTTCATTTTAGCGTACTGCTTGGTGTGCTCATCCAGCCAACTACTTTCCTGGAGGATCGCTTTAAATGACGTCATTAGCGCGTGCGTCATGGCGATCGTGTCGCTTTTGCTCGAACTGTCAAAGTGTTTTTCTACGAACATGGCGCCCAAGGCCATGCCCAAATGTGCGTTCACTTGGCCGACGCAGAATTGCCATCGTTCGGGCGCTTTTTCCCGGCCGAACATCACGTAATTGAAACGTTGTTTCAATGCCAGAAAACGGTAATCTGGAATTATTATTGTATTGTTGTATAACAAGTTTTTACCACTTGAAAAAAATTTGACAACTGGTGACTCCTAGACTATTAATACATATTATAACGAATCAAAATGATAACTTCAAAAACAAACTAATAGTCCAGGAGATTGAACTACACTTTGCTGACCTATGATAGGCAGAAAATTTTTCACACAGTTGATAATAAATTGTAGAAAAGCCAAGATGCAGCTGAAATGTATTCACCTAAATTATTGATCCTCTGCCTCACAAATCTCCAAATCAAATAGTTTTGGATTGTGATTTTGTCAGTGTTGCTCAGCAACTGAACCAGATCCAAGAGGTATTTCACGCAATAGACAGCGACTGGAGTGCGAAGATTCACACTGGGACCTTAAAAAAAAACTGTTCAAAAGTCAATGTAGCTATGTTTTTAGGACGAGAATAAGGCACTAGCTGATGTCACACACATAACCTCACTTTCAATGGGGGAGACAACCAAAGTGTTTGAAAGACTATTTTAAACACAGGCACATAACGTCAATTTTCGATAGGAGGACAAACATGTTATTGAGACGAACCTACCTCAATGAGACAAATGTGTGTGACGTCAGCTAGTGCTTAATTATATTCATTTATGTGTGTCGTCATCCACATCCTCACCTAAAACCAAATCAAAATATCGCTTCCAATCGTACTGAGGAAAGTATAGCGTCATAGAGGACAAATCAGTTTTAAGATAAATCTCCGAAATGTTCCTCCTTTCCTCGCTCGACGCCATTATGGCAGCCAATTTGGTTTCGAAATCCACCATCTTGTCCACGTCTGCTTCCGCGTCACTTAAATCGGCGCCCAGCAGCTTGGCAGTGTCTTTTTTTGAAACAAATTATTATTTGATATACACACCGAACCAACTTACTAGACACATAGGAAGTAATAAGAACTGGTCCTCTTAAAGTTTATGTGTCTAGTAACCTGGTCATGTCTGTATGTAGATAATTAAATCACCTAAAATCAGTATTTTATAAGCCCTAATGTATCTGATATTTTTCGGATCTAAAAAATAATCCCTAGATGGCAACCCCAGTGTGGGTTGATCAATGTGGACGATGTATTGGTTGGCGTTCTTCATGTCTGGACCAATCCATTGTGAGATAAGTACGTCATTAGTCAACAAGCGCAATCTAAATTTAATTTATAAGAAGGTTGACTTTTGAACTTTTCATCATTACCTTGCCAATAATTGGAACAAATCGAAAGGTTTCTTTTTTTGAGACAATAAAGGCCAACCACCCAATAAGTCAATAATTTCAAGCAAAGGCGTACCGCCTCTTTTTGCTATTTGTTCTTCGTTCATGCAAGATTCATAAAACATTTTCGCCTTAACAGTTGCGTCCGTCGTATCGTTACAATCAACTGAATATTCAAATAGTGTTTCTATAAGTGGCGCTTCATTTGAGTCGTCTTCACTATTATGGCGTAAAATATCGTTCAAAACCACATCCAGATTTTCTCGAATTATCTCGAAAGTATCATAGGCGGAACGATCGGGTGGGATGTGGAAATATTTCTTCCAGTTTCCACAGGCGTACTGGTAAAAATCTACGCAAGGATCTGCGTTTAGGTCCATGTACTTTTGCATAATTTTACCTCGATAGAAATATACAGCTTAAAATCCGTATTAATAATAAAGCTGTTTTCTCGCGTCACTTTATTGAACTTGGTTTAAAATAGTATATTCTCGTGATGAACCCATGACGTCACACAAAATTGGTTCAAACCGTTTCGAAATATACAATCCAATCCACGTTTATATAAATATTTTCTCGCGCCGATAAGGTATGACGTCATTGTCAAACTGTTTTGGAAAATGTTTCAAAACTTTGAAACGCGAGAAAACGCCTCAATTCTTACTTTGCAATGTCCTAATTTCGCTCCTGTCCATGGACTTGTGCCAAAATAATTGTTCATCAGCATCCTTACTACATTTCCTATTATCCTTGAATTTTTCATGGTTGGATATATTTATACGAATAGTTAAAACATCCTCGACTATTTCGGATCGAACATTTGGAAAAAATATTGTTCTGCTGTCTTTGAAAATGTCGCTATGGGATTCACAATCCGGTATTTCGTGGTTTGTCGTAGGAGAAAATAAAATTAATGACAATAGGAGGGAATACATTGTTTGGCACTTATTGACTTATGCTTATTGACAACTAGGCACCAGCTGACGTCACACACATAACCTTATTTTTGATGGGGGAACAAACAAAGCGTTTGAAGGACTATTTATACCAATGACGTCATCGATTGATTTATACCAATGTTTATAGAGTTTATACCAGAGTTAAAACCTCTATTCCACCGACATGAAAACTGTTCCAGAACCAGTTATTTCCAGTTGTCCATTCATTTTTCAATAAGTTGAAGGTTTATCCTGCTTGAAAAATGAATTGATCGACTGGAAATCACCTTTCTCTCTCGTGTAACTGTTCTCATGTCGGTTGGAACAGAGCTTCACAGGCGCTAGCTATTAGGTCACACATTACATAACGTCACTTTGGATAGGGGGATAAACATTTGATGCTACTAGGATAGCCTATCCTCATAAAGCCAGTGTAGTTCAAAACTCAAGCCTCTCACCACATCAAAGTATCTGTAATGACGTAAGGCAGCATGTCATTTCTCGTCTTGACGTAGGGTGTTTGCACCACGGGTGATGATTCCGCGGGCTTGTTTTTGCTTTATGCACACTTGGTTTCACTACATTAATTAACATTCTAAAACAAAACAAGTCTTTTTTAAATCTCGTTTTCATCTTCGTCTTTGCCTATTATGGCCGAGTTCGTTTTTGTCATCTTTTTCGTCGATTTGCTCCGAAATTTTGACAGGCACGTGACTGGATCAGACAGTTTCAATTTACAAATTACGTGCCTGTCAAAATTTCGGAGGAAATGGACGGAAAAGATGACAAAAACGAACTTGGCATATGTAAATCAAAATTAAATAATATTTTTCATCATGAATTTAAATTCTGAACTACGCTAGCGCAAATAGCTGACGACTTAGTTAATGACGTCGGCAATGGTGCTACACCAGTATAACGGCGATTACCAAAAACGAAGCCGATAAGCAATCCATATTAGTGTGTATTATCCTTGCCTCAATCCTACCTCAATTAGGCTCTCCAAATCACGTGATTTTTCAATATGGCGACCGTGGAAAATTTGACGTTTGTTTGTTTATCTTGAAATTATTTGGAATATTTTCAAGCTAATTACAGTTTACTTTGTTATAATATACTTTTTGAGATGTAGAGTGAATATTTAAAGACTTGAATGCAGGAAAATCGGGATCTGGGCGAACGGTTAGTTTAAAAAAATGTCCAGATGACATCATCCACATTTCACATTAATGAGCAAATGAAGGCCTACAAAAGCTTAGATTCTTACGAATATTTCGAAAATGGCTTTATTTCAGATACAGGAGCAGTGGTAGTGAAAAATTTTCACGTTTTAATTGGAAAATTTTAAAACAAGGGGCAATGAAAAAAGCCTGATATCATCCTTGTTACCTTGTTGAAACTACTTCCACAATCAACCTCAAGACCCGTTTGTGACATTTTTAATTGGAAGAAACACTAATGAAAATAAACAGAGTTCGTTCACAAAACAACCACAAAATGCACTTTAAAAAGCTTTAAATTACATACTCTCATATACGAGATAATGAACTTCTGCCACAACGCACTTTTTGACAGGTCGTAGGAATGCCTAATAATCAGCTGATAATTCAAGATGGCGACGTGGGCATAACAAACTTGACCACCGTCAAGTTATCTTTATATTCAATTCTGATTGATTACAATTTGAATGGGAATTGAATGTAAGCGTGCCTTTACTGCCTTTACGGTTGTCAGGTTTCTACGGTGCCATATTGAATTGAGAGAACGTCAAATCTAAATTTCCTAAAGTTAATAGGTTTTCTAGGTAATGGGTAACGGTAACTTGATGACGCATCTGGGGTGCCTTATGGAGATTTGCATTATGTTGAGCAATGTTGAGGCACTCCAGATGACATCATTAAGTTATCAGAAACTCTATAACAGGTAAAGATCGTTATCTCTATCGCTATGGCACTTGGCACTTGCTATATTCTTCTCTCTTCCAAAATCAATAGAGTCGGGATAAAGACGAAGGACCGCACAAAATGGAGACGCGCATCCGTAGTGACGACACAAAGGGTATTAACGTTTGACAATAATAGGCAATACCTACTCTTTGCTTATAATCCTTGGTTTGTGTAGGGGCCGGTTTCTCAATAGCGAGTCACCTCCGGGTTGGTTTTAACCCCAAGGTAAATGTGTCTAGTTGCTATGTTTACCCTGGAGTTATGCTTAACCCGGGGGTGACTCGCTATTGAGAAACCGGCCATCAATCGTTCGTCGGCTGTCATTGTCATTGACTGTCTTTTTCCTTCCCTTTACGTTATATATTTTTCTTCTCTTTCGTGTAACATAAAAATTTGCCAAACCGTGACGCGTATTTCAAATTACTCTCCATTCTCGTCCAAATATCAATACGCCATCCAAGGTCGTTTGAGAGAGGTAGGATGGTAATGGGTGCATTATATTGAGATTTGCATTATGTTGAGGCACTCCGGATGACGTCATAAAGTTATCAGGCATCCTACTTCTCTCAAACAACCTTGACCGCCGCCTTAGAAGCTTTGCACTTCAAAAAAGATCGTATGTATCTGTTACCTGGGCTGGGATCACGACAACTAAAATTCTACTTTCATGACGTCACCCGCGACCTATTTATCGCGTACAGTACAGGCGATTATGACGGTTGTTAGATAACCTGACGTCATGAAAGTAGAATTCTAATAGAGTTCTACTTGTCGTGATCCCAGCCCTGTTCAGTCCAAGACAGTGACGTCGAAACTGAGGATATGTTTGTGACGTCAGCTAAAAGCAAAACAGTGGCGGCTTGTGGTGTCTAAGTAAGAGACAAAAATAAAAACCAGTCGTACAGTCGTAGGCGTAATTTTTTCAAGATTTCCAAGGTTACGGCCTTTCCAAATGTTGTATTGAAAATATTTTTCACTTTGTTATTTTTTCTCCAAGGTGGCTGTACCCACCTTGCTCATATGGGCGAACCGCCACTGGAGCAAAAGTAAAAAAGGTAGAAATACAATTAACAAATAACTGATAAAGATGGAGTGGAGGTAAAGATGGAGTAAAAATGAGAGGAACAATAAAGGGCTTCAACATGCGCTAACTCGATAATATTTTCTTGATCGTTTGGCTTTAACGGGGAATTGTTTCCATCAGAATCTCAATATTGTATCAATCAAGTATAAGATATGGCTGTATTCTCAGCGCCTGAGCATTGACTTCATTTTGTCTCAAGATCAGGATCAGTAAATAGGCAAATTATGTTAATAGCACTCTCAGTCTGAGATTCTGAGAAGCTGGAACACATTTGGAAACTATCTTTGGGAACGAAATTTGAATTATTTCAAAACAACGTTGGGATTATGAATCGGAAAATGAGCCAAGGATTACAACTGTCAAGTAGCACTAAAAGTAGATATACTAAGTCGGTTCTCAAGCGGAAGTGACGTCACAATGGTCGCCTTGACATTGCATCTCAAGATTCCTAAAGTTAATAGGTTGTCTGGTAATGGGTAATTTGATGACGCATCTAGGGTACCTTATGGAGATTTACATTATGTTCAGAGACACTAGATGACGTCATAAAATTATCAGGCAACCTATCACTCTCAAATAACCTTGACTGCATCTCAATCAAAAACTGTAAGTTTCCCCTATGAACTCTTTAATCATTTGATCAAAATATGAATAAGAAACAGATGCAACTCGTTTATCTATCTCTCTATCTCTAGCTCATTTGATATATGTTCGATGAATACGTTGGCACGTTAATCGATTGCAGCGCGTGTTCCGTCTGTTTCACAAGTGACGTCACAATGACCACTAATGCCTGTCAAATTTGAAAAAGGTCCACGATAGCCTATCCTCATAAGACCTGTGTAGTTCGAATTTTAAGTTTCCCATAATGCTGAAGTTCCATTGATAACGTAAGCAGTGTGTCCTTTCTCGCTTTGATGTAGGATGTTTGCATCATGACTATGATTTCGCTGGCTTTTACTTTATGTACACATGATTTCAGTACAATAATAATTAACATTATTCTGAAAAAAACCTTCTACAGATCTTGCTTGCATCTTCTCTTTGCCTAGTATTTCAAACAAACAAAAATAATATTTCAAACTACGACCCCTGACGATTCCGTTGATGACGTCAGCAACGGTGCTACACTATATGACCTTGATTTGAAAACTTGAGGCCAATAAGCAATCTTGTAGAAGTATGTATATCATTGTCATTTACCCACCAAATTTCAAATAGGGCTCCAAACTGAAGGATCCCAAGCCAAGTGGGTTTCAGGGGTATAAGCCTAGTAACAGGGCACGAGTCCACTTGGGTTGGGCCCTATTTCAAATTTAGCATGTAAATGACGGCCATTGTGACGACACTTCCGCTTGAAAGCCGGCTTAGTATAGCTCTGTTCCAATAGACATGAGAACCATTCCAGAACCAGTAATTTCTACTGCAATTCAATAAGTGGAACGTTTATCCTACTTGACAAATGAATGTCTGTTGGAATAGAGCTTCTATTTACCACCACTAAAGATGGACCAATTATTGTTCTAGGTCTGGCAGAAACAAAAGACGAAATCATTTCCGACGAAGAATCGGACAACGATTCGACAAGTTCCGGCAGCGTTCCGAGCTCCGAAACGCCCAAGTATCGATCCCGAGTATCGTCGATATCGGTATCGAAACAGAACCATTACGGCAGTTTTTATTTGAGAATGGGCGCGGTCGCTTTCGGAATCGGCAGCATGATCTACTCCGGCTTGGAGTTCGGACAATATTTCGAACTAGAACGGAACACCAAGTGCCACAACGTGTTGCTGGCTCTGACTCCCGCTACAAGAATGGCTTTTATTTTTATACAAATGTATTTTATTTTTTTAAATAATGAGGTAAGCTTAAGGTTTGTTCTCACAAGGGTCTCTCTAAGCATCGCCCATGCATGTCGTGCTAAGATACCTAATCGATAACTTAGCTGAGCGATTGTTACTGATAGTTTGGAATCTGTTAGAGAATCTTGTGAGAACAGACCTTTAATGATACTTGAGTAGGAAATTAAAAAAACTTGATTTGTTTTTAGCAAATGCGTGTCTACAAGCACAAACTAGCTGCAAGGTTTGGCCTGATGCACATGATTGGTACAAATTTGTCCGTATGGCTTAACGTTTTAGTACAAGAAACCAAACACGAAATATTGACTTTTTACAATCCGGAAAATAACTCGCTAAGAATTTCGCACAGGATTCCTTATAAAGGGTGAGTTATTAGGCCTGTTCGCACAGCAATCACAAACCAGTCAGAGCAAATTTCATTGGTTAAAAACAGTCAGAAAACTAGTTTCAACCAATGAAATTCACTCTGACTCGTTTGTGATTTCTGTGCGAACAGATCTATCATTCTAATTAGGTCTGTTCCAACACGTTAAAAGCTGTCCCGTGAACGATTTTGAAACCACTCAGTGAATGAATTTTGGTTTCTACGCACAAATTTTACGCATTGCGCAGAATCGTGACGGTACATTGTACGGTTTCCTGCTGTGTTGGAACAGACCTATTATAAGCAACAATTATTGTAAAATAAATTTTCTGCAGTCATCATCATATAGTTGTTAGAGGCCTTAAAGGACCGCATCACCTCTACGAGTGCCGAAGAACGAATATTATTGGTTCCTTAGTACAAGACGCTTCTCCATTTTTGTTTCCTTGTACAATCGAGTACAGTTTAATATGTGCAGCCATTTTGTATGTCATGTGGCGCAGTATGTCAAAGCTAAATGTCAATAGTAAATTGAAAGTCAAAACAGAAGTAAGCGCGTATAAAAGAAGCCCCCACCACTATTCGGTAGACTGTGCGCGTGCGCACAAAGGCCTTTTCGTTGGTATTTTGTTTCTAGTTTTGACAATTATAAGTTTGATTTTGTTTTTCGTACTCATATCAAAAGCAGAATTTGTTGGTTTGGCTGTCATCGAAGTAAACATTTGCGAGCTGACGTTGTACGGAATGACAACTTTGGCGTCTGTCATCGGTATGTGGCAGGTGCGTCAACTTAAGTACGATGGAACGAAAAATTTGCAGTTGGACAATATTTTGTTAGTCGGAGCGCAAACTGGCATGTACGTTTACAGTATGTTTACGATAATCGGCGGTCAATTTACCGTACAGAAAAATACCGTTTTAGTTTTGGTTACTGCGGTAGCTTCTTTATTACAAACCACCTGTCAAACTATATTTATTTTAGACGCGTCGCGACGCACCTGCGCCACTCCCGATCAGATACGGAAAAAACCCGGCAGGGAAATTGTTACTTTTTTGCTTGTGACAAATTTAGCTATGTGGGCTATTAACACTCTGGAAAAATCCAGGGCCGAATCGCATCCGATCCAGTTGCACTTTTATGGCTTGTGGGCTTGGACTATTATCACGCACGTGTCCATGCCTTTGGCCATTTTTTATCGGTTCCATTCCACTGTGTGTTTATGTGAGATATGGAAGAGGGCTTATAAAATGAAACCTACTTACATGTAGAATAGTAGATATGTATTGAGGGGAGCAATAAGAAAAATGTATTTTTATATACGTTTTATATCTATTATACAATGTTTGATATATGAATTATTTACTCCAAAACTATTTAACGAAAGTATATTGACTTGACTTCATTCAAATCGCCTGAAATATTGAATTATGGAAGTTCTCATCCGTGCAGCTGGCTTTTTAATGGCCTCCGTGATTTGATTTATCCCCGTTTTAACACGTTCTGACGATTATGTCGTTTGTAATGTCTTTTCTCAAAGCGCGACTTCTGGTTTAATAATTGGAATAAAAATACTACTGGTGGCCAAAAAAATCTGGATAAAACGGCGAGAATTCCTTTATCATCTTGTTTTGCTGTCATTCATTAATTATTTACTTTTATATTTAATTTTTTTTCTTTCATGTTCAACTTTCTCTTTTTTTTACTTTTTTCTCATATTTTCTCTCCCTTTTGATTTTCTCATTTTCGTTGTTTTGTTTCGTTGATTGAAGTTGGTTCTCAAAACGTTGCCAAACTTACATATCTATACTCAAAGATGCAATAAATCAAATCAAACCTCATTAGAATTTAAGATTATATTAAATGTATTATTGTTTTGTTATGTTTAAATAATTATTAAATATTATTAGTGTGTCCTAGATCATTTATGACCTCATATATAGATTGTCAGAGTTGTGCAAACTGTACCTACCTAAGGTATTTTGTTCTATTATACTAGTAGTCCATTTTTGTGCCATATTATTTTATAGATATTTATATTATATTGCTTTTTGTTGATTCAAATACAATATTTATTCATGTTTGACTTGTTTGATTGTAGCTACCTTCCTATAAGGCCCGGTTCATACATCTTCAGTTAAACTTACTGTTAACTGTCCACAAGATACATTTATCAATCTATAATCCTATTGGTTGACGGATAACTGGCCGACCAATACGATCAAATATTTTTTAAAAAAAAATCCATTCACAATAGTTTTTTCTATATGTATAAAGATTTGTAACCTAATGCTACCCTCCCACACGATATAAGTAAGTCTCTTTTTCGCACTAATAAGGTTTTTAAAAAGTCACCTAAACCTCCGCATTACGCCTATATTTAACCTTGTCTAATCAGCATATCTATTCACTTTGTATAGAAAAAGAAAAGAAGCAGAATTATATCACTGCATTTTTATACCTTCTAAAGCTTCTTAAAAGTTAAGAATGTTTGAGTGTAATTATTGATCAAGTCACGTAATTCTTTATTCTTATTCAAAATCATTTGTGATTTAATGCAAAGTCAAAGATTCATTATCAAGGTTATCGTTGACTTTTCTTTTCTTCTTTGGACCATTTTATTGATCGAATAACCTTTCTATAGAGAAATTATTCTCCCCCTCGCTCTAATCTAAAAATACTCGGAAAGAAAAAAAGAGGGCGAGGGTGGCTATAATGAATGCAATTCTCGTTAGTCTTCAGCCTGCCTGCCGCCCCCTCTTTCCTTTCTACGGTATGTTGTGGCGGAGCCAGTCACGTGATGTAAACAGATTGTTGCGTTTCGAGACGTTGCCAGATTGGACGTCGATTTTTCAAGAAAAATGTCCAAATGTTCAAGAAGTTTTCTACGATTGGATAATTTTGACTAGGCAACATTCTGTTGAACAAAATGAATAAATAATTAAAAAGAGCGGTTTTTAAAATTATGTCCTACTATAACTGGAAATTTTCTGTCATTTGTCAATATTGTCAAAACATTTAAAGTCGTATTTAAACCACAATAAAGGGCAGTAGATTTAAACTTTAATACATTTTCCACATTGAAAATATAACTATTTCAGCCTCTCAAATAAGACAGAAAAACTTCTTGAAATAGACAAAAATTGAGACATTTCAAGGGCCGAGAATAGACAAAATTTAAGACAAAAAAATTGAGAAATAGAGAGAAGAAAGTTGAGAAAAGACAAAAACATTCAAGAGTCAGGAATAAACAAAAATTGAAAAATTGAGAGAGAAAAATCAAGAAAAAATTAGAGAAAATTTATAAACAAGTAGAAACATAATTTTTCTATTCCAGGCTTTTGAATTTTCCTTGTAAAAAAAAGGAGACAAAAATTCAAAAGCCAGGAATAGACAAAAATTGAGAATTTGAGAGAGAAGAAAAAATGAGAGAAAATTCATAAACACGTAAGGTTCGTTTCACCAGAGTTCATACTTGACCTTGAAACTTGAAAAAAAAGGGTTGTCGTAGATTAATTCATATGACACATTTAATTTTTTTGACAAATCAAAATGAATGACTTCTGGTTTAAGAACCGACGAACGTTTTTGACGTCATTGATTTGTTTCAGTCAATTTTTATTTGTTAAACAAGGAAGGCAAATGCTGGTGGCAAGTACAAACCCTGGCGAAACAAACTTTAGAAACATAACTTTTTTATTACTAATTTTTGAATTTTCCTTATTAAGAGAAGCTTGAAAAAGACAAAAATTCAAGAATCAAAAATAGACAAAAATTGAGAAATGTAGAGAGGAAAGTTGAGAAAAAACAAAAATTCAAGAGCCGAGAATAGACAGAAATTGAAAAATTAAGAGATGAAAATCAAGAAAGAATTAGAGAAAATTGATAAACAAAAAGTCGAAATATAACTTTTTTATTCCAGGCTTTTGAATTTTCCTTATTTAGAAAAATTTAAAGGAAACAAACATTCAAGAGCCGGGAATAGACAAAAATTGAGAAATTTACAGGGGAAAATAAAAAAAAAATTATAAAGAAATAGAAACATATCTTTCCTATTCAGGCTTTTGAATTTCTCTTATAAATAGAGAAATTTGAAAGAGTGTGACATGTGATTCCAAATAATTTCACAAGAACTTGTCAAAATTTAAGAGAATTCCATGTGATTTTGATGGGAATTTTCTAATATTTCATGAAAATAATTTAGAATTTCGGGGAAACTGTGTGGAGAAACATTAATGGAATTTCAAAATTCCACATAATTTTATCAGAATTTTATATATTTTTTGAAGTTTCGCGATAACTTTGAATTCTAAGAAATAACTTGGAATTCTATTCTAAGGAAGATTATGTGGAATTTCAAATAATGACGTGGAATTCTAGAAGAATTACAAGAAATTCTAAAAAAATGTCTTAATTTTCAAAGAAATTACATAAAATGTCAGTAAAATTACATAAAATTCCAAGGAATGACATGGAATTGCAAAAAAATCACTTTTAATTTTAATTACATGAGATTAATTCTTTTGAAATTTCTGAAATTGCATTTAAATATGACGGAATTCTGCACAATTTCACTGCAATTTCAATGGAATTCCTATAATTTTCCTGTAATTTTACAAAATTTCACCGGAATTCCACATAATAATACCAGAATTCTACGAAAATCGTTGGAACTTTATTTTTTGGAATTTCACATTCCTGGTAAATTCGATGGAATTCCTCGAAATTTCCTAGAAATTTGATGTGAATTCTTTAGAATTCTACTTAATTTCTACAATATTTCTTCGTTTTTTTTTTTTTTTTTAAATTTTTAAGTAATTTTGGGTTTTCCCAGAATTGTACGTAATTTTTCTAGAATTCAACGGATTTTTTTTTGAAATGCCGCATTATTTTTTGGAATTCCATGTAATTTCACGTTATTTTTTCAAAATTGAACATTTTTTCTTTGGAATTAAGTTTAATGTTATATGGAATTTCAAGTTTTTTTTGAAATTCTGGTAGGTATTTGATTTATAGTTTCAAGGGAATTTTATGTGATTTCTCGGAATTTTACACGGAAATTCCTCGAAATTTCACAATCTTATTTTGTACACTGGAATTTGACGTAATTATCCTATAATTTTACATAATTGCACGGAATTTTTCGGAATTCTACGATCTTTTTTTGTACATCGGGACTTTATTCAATTTCATTGGAATTTTACGTAATTTCTTTAGCATTAAATGTTATTTGTTTTTGAATTCCGGGCTTTTCCCTTTAATTTTGATGTAATTTTAATGGAATTCCATCATAATCATGTAATTTCGTAAGAATTCCACGTAATTGCACTGGAATTTTATGTGATTTTACGTAATTTCTTTAAAATTCAAAGTCATTTCCTCGGAATTTCCCGTCATTAATTTAAAATTTCATTCGTTTCGATGGAATTTCTCACAATTTTCCATAAATTCTAAGTAAATCTTCGGAATTTTTTTTAAATTTTTATGAAATTCAATGGAATTTCTTCATTTCATTCTAGCATTTCATGTTATTTCGCTGAAATTCTATGTGAAAAAATTACAATTTTTTTGATTTACAAAGCAATAAATATATCTAAGTATAGAAATTCAAAATTTTTAAATTTTTTGAACAAAAAAAGGAATATGTATTAATTTATTTTAATCAAATTAAGAAATTTCAAATTTTTTTGATGAAGGGAAAAAGTAAGGGAATTTTCAAATTTTTCGAAAAAATCAACGAATTCCAAATTTTATGAAGACATGAGGGAATTCCAAATTGTTAATTTAGCATTTTCTTACTTTTTGAAATTTCATGTAATTTCATTGGAATTGCGCTTTTTTTTTCAGGAATTTCACGTAATTTTATGGAATTCCAAGTGAGTTTCTTAAAATATCTACCACGTTATAATGGCATGTAAATTCGATGATATTCCGGAATATACAAAAATTGGAGAACATTCATAAACAAATAGAAATATAACTTTTCTATTTCAGACTTTTGAATTTCTAATGTCAAAAGAAACTTGAAGGAAATAAAAATTCAAGAGCCGGAAATAGAAAAAAATTGACTAAGTAAGAGAGAAAAATCAAGAAAAATTAGAGAAAATTCATAGATAAGTAGAAACATAACTTTTCTATTCCATATTTTGAATTTTCCTTATTAAGAGAAGCTTGAAAGAGACAAAAATTCAAGAACCAAAAATAGACAAAAATTGGGAAATCGAGAGAGAAAAGTTGGGAAAAAACAAAAATTCAAGAGCCGAAAAAAGACAAATATTGAAAAATTTACAAGAGAAAATCAAGAAAAACTGATAGAAAATTCATAAAGAAATAGAAACATAACTTTCCTATTCAGGCTTTTGAATTTCTCTTATAAATAGAGAAATTTGAGAGAGTGTGACATGTGATTCCAAATAATTTCACAAGAACTTGTTAAAATTTTAGAGAATTCCATGTAATTTTGATGGGAGTTTTCTAATATTTCACGAGAATAATTTGGAATTTCGAGAAAATTGTGTGGAAAAAAATTAATGGAATTTCAAAATTCCACATAATTTTATCAGAATTTTATATATTTTTTAATAAAGTTTCGGGATAACTTTGAATTCTAAGAAATAACTTGAAATTCTATACTAAAGACGATCATGTGAAATTTCAAATATTGACATGGAATTCTAGAAAAATTACATGAAATTCTAAGAAAATGCCGTGAAATTCAAAAAAAATTACTTTTATTTTCAAAGAAATTACAAAAAAAGTCAGTAAAATTACATAAAATACCAAGGAATGACGTCGAATTGCAAAAAAATCACTTTTAATTTTATTTACCTACATGAAATTATTCCTTTTGAAATTTCTGAAATTGCATTTAAATATGAAGGAATTCTGCACAATTTCACTGGAATTTCAATGGAATTCCTATAATTTTCCTGTAATTTTACAAAATTTCACCGAAATTCCACATATAATAATACCGGAATTCTACGAAAATCGTTGGAACTTTATTTTTTGGAACATTTCTTGATTTTTGTTTTGAAATTTGACGTAATTTTTTGTTTTGAATCCCTGGTAAATTCGATGG